CCTGGGAGGATCCGACCCAGGTAGACCGGGTCCACGTAGGATCCGGCCCAGGTAGACCGGGTCCTGGGAGGATCCCGTCCAGGTAGACCGGGTCCACGGAGGATCCGACCGAGGTAGACCGGGTCCACGTAGGATCCGGCCCAGGTAGACCGGGTCCTGGGAGGATCCCGTCCAGGTAGACCGGGTCCACGTAGGATCCGGCCCAGGTAGACCGGGTCCTGGGAGGATCCCGTCCAGGTAGACCGGGTCCACGGAGGATCCGACCGAGGTAGACCGGGTCCACGTAGGATCCGGCCCAGGTAGACCGGGTCCTGGGAGGATCCCGTCCAGGTAGACCGGGTCCACGTAGGATCCGGCCGAGGTAGACCGGGTCCACGTAGGATCCGGCCCAGGTAGACCGGGTCCTGGGAGGATCCTGTCCAGGTAGACCGGGTCCACGTAGGATCCGACCCAGGTAGACCGGGTCCACGTAGGATCCGGCCCAGGTAGACCGGGTCCTGGGAGGATCCCGTCCAGGTAGACCGGGTCCTCGGAGGATCCGACCCAGGTAGACCGGGTCCTGGGAGGATCCCGTCCAGGTAGACCGGGTCCACGGAGGATCCGACCGAGGTAGACCGGGTCCACGTAGGATCCGGCCCAGGTAGACCGGGTCCTGGGAGGATCCCGTCCAGGTAGACCGGGTCCACGTAGGATCCGGCCCAGGTAGACCGGGTCCTGGGAGGATCCTGTCCAGGTAGACCGGGTCCACGTAGGATCCGACCCAGGTAGACCGGGTCCACGTAGGATCCGGCCCAGGTAGACCGGGTCCTGGGAGGATCCCGTCCAGGTAGACCGGGTCCTCGGAGGATCCGACCCAGGTAGACCGGGTCCACGTAGGATCCGGCCCAGGTAGACCGGGTCCTGGGAGGATCCGACCCAGGTAGACCGGGTCCACGTAGGATCCGGCCCAGGTAGACCGGGTCCTCGGAGGATCCGACCCAGGTAGACCGGGTCCACGTAGGATCCGGCCCAGGTAGACCGGGTCCTGGGAGGATCCGACCCAGGTAGACCGGGTCCACGTAGGATCCGGCCCAGGTAGACCGGGTCCTGGGAGGATCCCGTCCAGGTAGACCGGGTCCTCGGAGGATCCGACCCAGGTAGACCGGGTCCACGTAGGATCCCGTCCAGGTAGACCGGGTCCTGGGAGGATCCCGTCCAGGTAGACCGGGTCCACGTAGGATCCGGCCCAGGTAGACCGGGTCCACGTAGGATCCGGCCCAGGTAGACCGGGTCCACGGAGGATCCGACCGAGGTAGACCGGGTCCACGTAGGATCCGACCCAGGTAGACCGGGTCCTCGGAGGATCCGACCGAGGTAGACCGGGTCCACGTAGGATCCCGTCCAGGTAGACCGGGTCCACGTAGGATCCGACCCAGGTAGACCGGGTCCACGTAGGATCCGACCCAGGTAGACCGGGTCCACGTAGGATCCGGCCCAGGTAGACCGGGTCCTGGGAGGATCCGACCCAGGTAGACCGGGTCCACGTAGGATCCGGCCCAGGTAGACCGGGTCCTGGGAGGATCCCGTCCAGGTAGACCGGGTCCTCGGAGGATCCGACCCAGGTAGACCGGGTCCACGTAGGATCCCGTCCAGGTAGACCGGGTCCTGGGAGGATCCCGTCCAGGTAGACCGGGTCCACGTAGGATCCGGCCCAGGTAGACCGGGTCCACGTAGGATCCCGTCCAGGTAGACCGGGTCCACGTAGGATCCCGTCCAGGTAGACCGGGTCCTGGGAGGATCCCGTCCAGGTAGACCGGGTCCTCGGAGGATCCGACCCAGGTAGACCGGGTCCACGTAGGATCCCGTCCAGGTAGACCGGGTCCTGGGAGGATCCCGTCCAGGTAGACCGGGTCCACGTAGGATCCGGCCCAGGTAGACCGGGTCCACGTAGGATCCGGCCCAGGTAGACCGGGTCCACGGAGGATCCGACCGAGGTAGACCGGGTCCACGTAGGATCCGACCCAGGTAGACCGGGTCCTCGGAGGATCCGACCGAGGTAGACCGGGTCCACGTAGGATCCCGTCCAGGTAGACCGGGTCCACGTAGGATCCGGCCCAGGTAGACCGGGTCCACGTAGGATCCGACCCAGGTAGACCGGGTCCACGTAGGATCCGGCCCAGGTAGACCGGGTCCACGGAGGATCCGACCGAGGTAGACCGGGTCCACGTAGGATCCGACCCAGGTAGACCGGGTCCTCGGAGGATCCGACCGAGGTAGACCGGGTCCTCGGAGGATCCCGTCCAGGTAGACCGGGTCCACGTAGGATCCGACCCAGGTAGACCGGGTCCACGTAGGATCCGGCCCAGGTAGACCGGGTCCACGTAGGATCCGGCCCAGGTAGACCGGGTCCTTGTAAATTATAGACCTATTGCTTTAACCTCCAATATTTGCCAAATAATGGAGAATAGATGAATGACTGACATGTTATTTGGAAAGGAATCAATATCCAGACGGCAAAGTGGCTTCAGAAAAGGAAGGAAGACCCTGGATCCATCTTTGTGTCTAAAAGACGAAATTAGAAAAGTGAAAATAAATAGAGAAAGTGTAGTAGCTGCATTCTTTGATATTAAGAAGACTTATGATATGATGTGGAGAGAAGGACTGATGATCAAACTGCTGAAGATGGATATTAAAGGTAGAATATAAAAGATTTTTTAAGTGAAAGGAAAATACAGGTTAGAATGGAAAGAGTTATTCTTCAAAATATCTAATTAAAAATGGAAAACATCAAGAAGAAGAAGAAGAATAATAAGCCCATTTCTCTATAATGATCAATGATGTTTTTAAAGATATAGAAAAAGTGTTTGCAGAGGAGGGGGGGGTCAGAATACTGATTATATTGTGAAGAAATTAGAAAAAGCGATTAATAAAATAGAAGATTGGTCAGAATATAAATGGGAATTCAAACTTTCAGAGGAAAAATCAAAAACAGTTTTTTTAGGAGCCTGAATTTACACTTTGTGATTTTCTCTTCACATTATAGTTAATGTTTTGTGTTTTATTTTTCTTGCTAAATGAAGCTTTCTTCAAATTATTAAATATTATTGGTAATTATTACCAATTTGGGGCTATTGTGGTTATTTTGTTATTATTTTCATTACTTCTTTGGTTTAAGGATGCATGTGTGTCACCTTTTAAGGATGATGCATCATGGGAGTTTGGTTGTTGTGTATCACAGAGTGGAGCCTCTGTCCTTATTTTTTGTATGTATGTTCGGCGCTCATTTATTCTATCTACTCACTAAAACATTTTTAAATGCAATAACTTCTCTCTGGATTGTTTTGGGATGAATCATCTGGATAACTGGTCTTTTCAAATGTTAAGAGTGCAGCGAGTCAGACCGGCTTCACTGATGTTTGAACCCTACACTCAGGTGAAGGTTAAATTATATAATCAAGAGATAGAAAGGGTCAAAAACTTTAAACTCTTGGTTTATGGCATTTCATATTCAGAAAATTATTGATAAGTGCCAAAAAGTTTTGAATGTTATGTTTGAGCTTTAAAAGCTATATATACAGGATTAATAAGATCAGCAATAGACTTTGGTCGTGTGGTTTATGGGTCAGCAGCTATTGCATCACTTAAAAAGTTAGAGTATATACGGACACAAGCTTTAAGATTAATTACAGGAGCGTTTAAAACAACATTTCAGGTTGAAGCTGGAGAAATGCCTGGAAATCAGGACACCTGTTGCTAAATGACTGGGTTAGTTTACAGGGTCATGGTCCAGATCATCCTGCAGAAGAAACACTGCAGCCATGTTGGAAAAGGAGACAAACAGGAAGGTTTGGATGCATAGTAGGGAAAAAACTAAGAGAACTTAGATTAGATCAAATTAAATGTAGTGCAACTGTAGCGTTAGCAGCAATCCCTCCCTGGATCACACCTGGAACTACGGTGGATTTAACACGGTTAGAAAAGAAAAAGGAAGGAATATTCATCATAAACTGATGCAGGAATATGTTAATAGTTATTATTATATTCAAATATATACAGATGCATCTTAAAGTGTGAGTAATAGGCTGGGTATTGCATTTTATGTTCCAGAGGTCAATATCAAAGTAAATAGGAGAATAAATAATGAATAATCAGTTTATACAGGAGAATTATTAGCAATACTATTAGCATTACAATGGATAGAGGAAGTGAGGACATTAAGATAAATTATATGTTCAGATTCGAGTTCCACTTTAATCTTTATACAAAATCATAGCTCAGAAAGTAGATCAGACATTTTAAGTGAAATACAGAAAGTTTTATATCAAGCTCAAATGATGGGTATTAGTGTTATATTTATGTGGGTTCCAGCACATAAAGGGATCAAAGGAAATGAAAATGCAGACAAGATTGCTAAAGAAGCGTCACAAAATAAAACCATTGATATAATAATTAACTTAAGACAGAAATGAAAAGCATCATTACACAAAGGATGAAGGAAAGGAGGCAAAAACAGTTGGAAGAAGAAAGGAGAGGAAGATGGTTTTATAGGATTTAACAGAAAGTTGGAGAAATGAGGAGAGCAGGAGAGAGGAAGCAGTTATTCCAAGACTTAGATTTGGACATAAAGCATTAAATAATAAACTATTCAAAATAGGGAAACATGTCAGGCAAATGTGGACAAGATGAAACAGTAGAACATGTAGTGATGGATCATAAGAAGTATGAAGAAGAATTTGGTTAGAGACCTAAAAAAGGAGAAAGTGATTTGATAGATATTCTGCAGAAAAAGTCAAATAAATGTTATCAATATTTATTTAAATATTTAATAATAGCAGGAATAATTGGGAGGATTTAGTATCATAAAGTAATATTATAGATATAGATATATAGATAAATATGTGTCTTTCTGAAATGGACCATTCGGATGCACCCCTCCTCACCAGCGGGTGGCGGTAATGAGCCGAAAAGTTGTTGCCAACCGCCATTAAACGCAGCAAGACAAGAGCAGGATGAACCAGCAGGGGGCAGCAGTGGAGCCCAGCGACGCTTCCTGCCAAGAAGCAGCAGAAGAAGAAGAAGCAACATGGCTTCCGGGCAGCAGTGGGTGTTGGTGGAAATGGTTCAGGCTTTTTATGAGGTAAACTTTCTCTTTAAAATCCCTCAGTCGGTTAAACGGACCGATTCCTCTGCTCCTCTTTCTGTCTTCTACTGTCAGTTAGCTGAGCTCCCAGCGGGCCTTCCAGGTCCTGGACCGGGACTCAAGGTCCTGGACCGGAACTCCAGGTCCTGGACCGGGACTCAAGGTCCTGGACCGGAACTCCTTGTGTCCTGGACCTGGACTCCAGGTGTCCTGGTCCGTTGAGGCCTGTTAGTAAGTCTTAACTGTTGCGCTTCTACACCGAACTTTACGGTTCCCTCTGTGTGTAATAAACTTTATTATGTAGTTCCAGGAAGCAGTAAAGCAGAGCAGAGGAATCTGTCGCTTCTTCTGTCTCTGATTTCAGGGGTTTTAGACAAGAGACGTTCAAGTACAGTCTGGAAAAGGGGAAACTTTTGGGATTGGCTTCCTCCTCTAATGTATGAAAAAGTTTCCAAGTTTGATTATGAAGTTGAACAGATTGTGATAATAAAGTTAAACTTTGGAAAACAGGCAGATTTGAGAGAAGCAATGAAACTTCATCCCTAAAGGCCTTTCAGAGGTGATGGAGAGAAGAAGCCTTGTTTGCTTCAATGATCCCCACAGTTCATGAAGCTTCATTGAACAGGACGCCACCTGCTGGTGGAATGCAGAACTGCAGTTAGTAATAAAATGCGTCTCCCCTCCCTTTTAGTTCCTTTGATATTGTTAATGGTTGGTGTTTATAATAAAAATTTTTGTACGTTTTTTAAGTGTAAAATTTCTTAGAGCATTCATTTTAGGTGAACAGTTTCTGCCATTTTAGTGAAATAAGCTCAAGCAGACAGTGAAAGTGTTCCTAAAAATTGGGCAATGATGAGCCAAATGAAGGTGTTAGTCATTTTTATTAAACATGTTTTCACATTTTTTGGTTTTAATTGGGTTAGAAGTTGTGTTCAACCAATCTTTTGTTTAAGCCGACCTAATTTGGCAGCGTTTTTACCCAACTTATATTTTTACTGGGGCAAACCAGTGCTAATTAGTCTCAGTGGCCAAAATAATGAAATACAATCGCAACTTTCAAAAGTCTAGGGCAGGTCTTAAACCATCAACCTCTAGAGAGAGGGTCTAGTGAGAGAGTTAGTTCCTGCATTGTGTGTTGAACCAAAGGCAGATCTTAAAGCTGCAGGATAGCCCCCCCCCCCCCCACCGCTGGTCTACAGTGAAGCTCTCTGGATGTGTGACCTTGAACTGACCTTTCCTCTGATCTCTCCAGGCTCCTGCATATCACCTGATTCTTGAGGGTATCTTGATCCTGTGGATCATCAGACTGTTGTTCTCTAAGACCTACAAACCCAATGAGACGTACAAGCTCACAGAGAGGGTAAGCAGAGCAGGCTGCTGGTTCCTGACCCCCCCCCCGTCCCAAACGGCTGTCAGTGTGCTTTCTGTTCCAGGAAAAGGAGGACCTGATAGAAGAATGGCAGCCAGACCTTCTGGTTCCTCCCGTTTCTAAGGACCATCCTTCCCTCAAATACGACGTGGTTTCAGGGTAAAGCTGTTTTTCCATTTCTCCTCCTATAACCAGTGAAACCAGTGAAACGCTCAGTGTCAGCTCCCAGTTAATCGTCAGGTTAAACACTCTGTTCTGGTAAACAGTATTCTGTGTGTTGAACCTCTGTATTTCAGACCGCCCAGCCATAAAATCACAGTCAATGGAAAGGAATGCATCAATTTCGCCTCCTTTAACTTCCTGGGCCTCCTGGACAGCGAGCGCGTGAAGGTAAGACCGGCCCGATGCACAGTCTCTCCTCTTCTGGACTCGGAACCAACAGACCTGGACCTGGTGCTTCTTTCCGTCACAGGAGAAAGCTCTGCTGTCACTCAAGAAGTACGGCGTCGGCACCTGTGGTCCAAGAGGCTTTTATGGGACGTTCGGTGAGTGAGCAGCGGGACACGCCCTGGTTCTGACAGTTCTGACCCCGAATGGGTCTCAGCTGATTTCTGTTGGACATTCAGTGTCTTTGGTCCTGGACCCCTCAGTGGGCCAATAAAGGCTGTCTCTACCCCCCCCAGACGTCCATCTGGAGCTGGAGAACCGACTTGCCGAATTCATGCAGACAGAGGAAGCCATCATCTACTCGTACGGCTTTGCCACCATCGCCAGCGCCATTCCCGCCTACTCCAAGCGAGGAGACATCATCTTTGTGTGAGTGGAGGTGGCGCTGCAGCGGCCGCTCCGGTTCACCTGCATCATCTCACCCTCTGCTTGGTGTCCAGGGATGAAGCCGCCTGTTTCTCCATCCAGAAAGGTCTTCAGGCTTCCCGCAGCTTCATCAAGTACTTCAAACACAACGACATGGAGGACCTGGAGAGGCTGCTGAAGGAGCAGGAGCTGGAGGACCAGAAGGTTGCTTATGTTCCAGGAGGGGGGGGGTGTCATTGATCCTGCAGGTCTGATCGTCTCCCTTCTTCTGTCTTTGCTCCCAGAATCCTCGGAAAGCTCGAGTGACGAGGAAGTTCATCGTGGTGGAGGGGATGTACATCAACACGGCGGACATTTGCCCTCTGCCTCAGCTGGTAAGCTCCACGTCTGCAGACGTCTGCAGCGGACCAGAACCGCCGTCATCTGAACCTCTGGCTGGATCAGAACCAGAGTTCAAATGAAGCACACAAGGCTTCCAGAGATAAACCAATCATAGAGCAGTAACAACGATCTTATTCTTTAAAAGATCAATCTTATTTATAGAGAATCCCATAAAATCATTGCTGCTAAGAGCAGGTGGAATGGACGGTTCAACAGAGCTATGGCTCTGGGTGAGTTTGGCAACTGTATTAAAAAGAAATCTAGGATTATTCTTATTCTCCTCTATTAATGAGGAGAAGTATGCTGCTCTAGCTTTACAAAGGGTCCTCTTATACAGCAGTAAACCATTTTTCCAGACTAGGAAGGACTCTCGCAGGCCTGTGGAGCGATATTTTCTCTCCAGTTTCCTAGCATTTTGCTTCAAAGTACGCAGCTCTGCATTAAACCAAGGAGCAAGCTTTCTATTTTTAACGGTTTTCATTTTCAAAGGAGCTGCGTTGTCTAAGGCAATACGCAGAGAACTAGCAACCCCATCAACAAAATCATCAACCATAAGATCTAAAGCTCTGGTTTAGATCTTATGGTTGCTCGTCTGGCTCCAAGTAGCAATTATTCAACTAAAGCGGTTCTGGTTGTTCATGGTCGTCGTAGAACCATCACTGTCTGGATCCTCATCCTGTTACCTTTGGTTCTGGAGGGTTTCAGAGCACCTGGTGATTGGGTGGATGGTGTTCACCGTAGCAGACATGCTAGCATGGTTCTGGTGAACCTGTTGCTAATGAATCGGGTAGAATCGGGTGGAAGCTACGGTTTCCTGCTCCAGCTGTCTGCTCTGTCCTCCAGGTGAAGCTGAAGTATAAGTACAAGGTCCGGATCTTCCTGGAGGAGAGTCTGTCCTTTGGGGTGTTGGGGGAACATGGCAAAGGCGTAACCGAGCACTTTGGTGTCAGTGTGAGTAGATCCAATGTCTTTATCATCCTGTAAAGTTTAACTGGTGAGAGAACGAAGCGGTGACCAGTCTCTGCTCGGTTTAGATCGACGATATCGATCTGATCAGCGCCAACATGGAGAATGCTGTGGCCTCCATCGGAGGGTTCTGCTGCGGACGTTCCTTCGTCATCGATCATCAGGTGACTAAAACAACTAGTCCGTCCTGGGGGTTAACCTTTGGGACCAGAGGGACGGTTTGTCCTGGGGGTTAACCTTAGGGACCAGAGGGACGGTTTGTCCTGGGGGTTAACCTTAGGGACCAGAGGGACGGTTCGTCCTGGGGGTTAACCTTAGGGAGACAGAGGGACGGTTTGTCCTGGGGGTTAACCTTAGGGAGACAGAGGGACGGTTTGTCCTGAGGGTTAACCTTAGGGAGACAGAGGGACGGTTTGTCCTGGGGGTTAACCTTAGGGAGACAGAGGGACGGTTTGTCCTGAGGGTTAACCTTAGGGACCAGAGGGACGGTTCGTCCTGGGGGTTAACCTTAGGGAGACAGAGGGACGGTTCGTCCTGGGGGTTAACCTTAGGGAGACAGAGGGACGGTTTGTCCTGGGGGTTAACCTTAGGGAGACAGAGGGACGGTTTGTCCTGGGGGTTAACCTTAGGGAGACAGAGGGACGGTTTGTCCTGGGGGTTAACCTTAGGGAGACAGAGGGACGGTTTGTCCTGAGGGTTAACCTTAGGGACCAGAGGGACGGTTTGTCCTGGGGGTTAACCTTAGGGAGACAGAGGGACGGTTTGTCCTGGGGGTTAACCTTAGGGACCAGAGGGATGGTTTGTCCTGGGGGTTAACCTTAGGGACCAGAGGGACGGTTTGTCCTGGGGGTTAACCTTAGGGAGACAGAGGGACGGTTTGTCCTGGGGGTTAACCTTAGGGACCAGAGGGACGGTTCGTCCTGGGGGTTAACCTTAGGGAGACAGAGGGATGGTTTGTCCTGGGGGTTAACCTTAGGGAGACAGAGGGACGGTTTGTCCTGGGGGTTAACCTTAGGGACCAGAGGGACGGTTTGTCCTGGGGGTTAACCTTAGGGAGACAGAGGGATGGTTTGTCCTGGGGGTTAACCTTAGGGACCAGAGGGACGGTTTGTCCTGGGGGTTAACCTTAGGGACCAGAGGGACGGTTCGTCCTGGGGGTTAACCTTAGGGAGACAGAGGGATGGTTTGTCCTGGGGGTTAACCTTAGGGACCAGAGGGAAGGTTCGTCCTGGGGGTTAACCTTAGGGAGACAGAGGGATGGTTTGTCCTGGGGGTTAACCTTAGGGACCAGAGGGAAGGTTTGTCCTGGGGGTTAACCTTAGGGAGACAGAGGGACGGTTTGTCCTGGGGGTTAACCTTAGGGACCAGAGGGACGGTTCGTCCTGGGGGTTAACCTTAGGGAGACAGAGGGATGGTTTGTCCTGGGGGTTAACCTTAGGGAGACAGAGGGACGGTTTGTCCTGGGGGTTAACCTTAGGGACCAGAGGGACGGTTCGTCCTGGGGGTTAACCTTAGGGAGACAGAGGGATGGTTTGTCCTGGGGGTTAACCTTAGGGAGACAGAGGGACGGTTTGTCCTGGGGGTTAACCTTAGGGACCAGAGGGACGGTTTGTCCTGGGGGTTAACCTTAGGGAGACAGAGGGACGGTTTGTCCTGGGGGTTAACCTTAGGGACCAGAGGGACGGTTTGTCCTGGGGGTTAACCTTAGGGAGACAGAGGGATGGTTTGTCCTGGGGGTTAACCTTAGGGACCAGAGGGACGGTTTGTCCTGGGGGTTAACCTTAGGGACCAGAGGGACGGTTCGTCCTGGGGGTTAACCTTAGGGAGAAAGAGGGATGGTTTGTCCTGGGGGTTAACCTTAGGGACCAGAGGGAAGGTTCGTCCTGGGGGTTAACCTTAGGGAGACAGAGGGATGGTTTGTCCTGGGGGTTAACCTTAGGGACCAGAGGGACGGTTTGTCCTGGGGGTTAACCTTAGGGAGACAGAGGGACGGTTTGTCCTGGGGGTTAACCTTAGGGACCAGAGGGACGGTTCGTCCTGGGGGTTAACCTTAGGGAGACAGAGGGATGGTTTGTCCTGGGGGTTAACCTTAGGGAGACAGAGGGACGGTTTGTCCTGGGGGTTAACCTTAGGGACCAGAGGGATGGTTTGTCCTGGGGGTTAACCTTAGGGACCAGAGGGACGGTTTGTCCTGGGGGTTAACCTTAGGGAGACAGAGGGACGGTTTGTCCTGGGGGTTAACCTTAGGGACCAGAGGGACGGTTTGTCCTGGGGGTTAACCTTAGGGACCAGAGGGATGGTTTGTCCTGGGGGTTAACCTTAGGGACCAGAGGGACGGTTTGTCCTGGGGGTAAACCTTAGGGAGACAGAGGGACGGTTTGTCCTGGGGGTTAACCTTAGGGACCAGAGGGACGGTTCGTCCTGGGGGTTAACCTTAGGGAGACAGAGGGATGGTTTGTCCTGGGGGTTAACCTTAGGGAGACAGAGGGACGGTTTGTCCTGGGGGTTAACCTTAGGGACCAGAGGGACGGTTTGTCCTGGGGGTTAACCTTAGGGAGACAGAGGGATGGTTTGTCCTGGGGGTTAACCTTAGGGACCAGAGGGACGGTTTGTCCTGGGGGTTAACCTTAGGGACCAGAGGGACGGTTCGTCCTGGGGGTTAACCTTAGGGAGACAGAGGGATGGTTTGTCCTGGGGGTTAACCTTAGGGACCAGAGGGAAGGTTCGTCCTGGGGGTTAACCTTAGGGACCAGAGGGACGGTTTGTCCTGGGGGTTAACCTTAGGGAGACAGAGGGATGGTTTGTCCTGGGGGTTAACCTTAGGGACCAGAGGGACGGTTTGTCCTGGGGGTTAACCTTAGGGAGACAGAGGGACGGTTTGTCCTGGGGGTTAACCTTAGGGACCAGAGGGACGGTTCGTCCTGGGGGTTAACCTTAGGGAGACAGAGGGATGGTTTGTCCTGGGGGTTAACCTTAGGGAGACAGAGGGACGGTTTGTCCTGGGGGTTAACCTTAGGGACCAGAGGGACGGTTCGTCCTGGGGGTTAACCTTAGGGAGACAGAGGGATGGTTTGTCCTGGGGGTTAACCTTAGGGAGACAGAGGGACGGTTTGTCCTGGGGGTTAACCTTAGGGACCAGAGGGACGGTTTGTCCTGGGGGTTAACCTTAGGGAGACAGAGGGACGGTTTGTCCTGGGGGTTAACCTTAGGGACCAGAGGGACGGTTTGTCCTGGGGGTTAACCTTAGGGAGACAGAGGGATGGTTTGTCCTGGGGGTTAACCTTAGGGACCAGAGGGACGGTTTGTCCTGGGGGTTAACCTTAGGGACCAGAGGGACGGTTCGTCCTGGGGGTTAACCTTAGGGAGACAGAGGGATGGTTTGTCCTGGGGGTTAACCTTAGGGACCAGAGGGAAGGTTCGTCCTGGGGGTTAACCTTAGGGAGACAGAGGGATGGTTTGTCCTGGGGGTTAACCTTAGGGACCAGAGGGACGGTTTGTCCTGGGGGTTAACCTTAGGGAGACAGAGGGACGGTTTGTCCTGGGGGTTAACCTTAGGGACCAGAGGGACGGTTCGTCCTGGGGGTTAACCTTAGGGAGACAGAGGGATGGTTTGTCCTGGGGGTTAACCTTAGGGAGACAGAGGGACGGTTTGTCCTGTGGGTTAACCTTAGGGACCAGAGGGATGGTTTGTCCTGGGGGTTAACCTTAGGGACCAGAGGGACGGTTTGTCCTGGGGGTTAACCTTAGGGAGACAGAGGGACGGTTTGTCCTGGGGGTTAACCTTAGGGACCAGAGGGACGGTTTGTCCTGGGGGTTAACCTTAGGGAGACAGAGGGATGGTTTGTCCTGGGGGTTAACCTTAGGGACCAGAGGGACGGTTTGTCCTGGGGGTTAACCTTAGGGACCAGAGGGACGGTTTGTCCTGGGGGTTAACCTTAGGGACCAGAGGGACGGTTTGTCCTGGGGGTTAACCTTAGGGACCAGAGGGATGGTTCGTCCTGGGGGTTAACCTTAGGGAGACAGAGGGACGGTTTGTCCTGAGGGTTAACCTTAGGGAGACAGAGGGACGGTTTGTCCTGGGGGTTAACCTTAGGGACCAGAGGGACGGTTCGTCCTGGGGGTTAACCTTAGGGAGACAGAGGGACGGTTTGTCCTGGGGGTTAACCTTAGGGACCAGAGGGACGGTTCGTCCTGGGGGTTAACCTTAGGGACCAGAGGGACGGTTCGTCCTGGGGGTTAACCTTAGGGAGACAGAGGGACGGTTTGTCCTGGGGGTTAACCTTAGGGACCAGAGGGACGGTTTGTCCTGGGGGTTAAAGGAATAGTACACCCAAAACATGATTAGCCTTCATTTTCTACTCACCCCCATGCTGAACAACACTCTGGAGTACTTTTTTGATATCTCAAATGCATCTGGAGATCTGGGAGGCTTCTTGCTGTCTGCTGACATTCAAATAATGGAGGTCTATGGCGCCCGAGGCAGAAAGGTCCATAAAAGTCCACAAAAAACGTGTCAATATTCCTCCATACTGCTCGTCCAATGTATTCCAAGTGTCCTGAGTGGGTAGCATCCAGAATTTACTCGAAACGAAGTCATTTAGAATGTTTTTAGAGCATAAACAGTAGTGTATAGGATGTCCTAAAAGCGCGTTCACGAGTCTACGGAAACCGCGGCAGACCAAACCAGCGCATTCAGCTCGGCAAAGAACTCATGCTCTTCCTCAACACTGAAGTCCTCAGACATTTTTCTTTCGTTGTTTCTTTCTTTGCACAGGTAAACAGCACATTTCTTCTTCTACGCTTGCATTATCGGCAGAGCAGACGCTGAATGCGCACTTTCATCTGGTTTGGTCTGCCGCGGTTTCCGTAGACTCGTGAACGCGCTTTCAGGAAATCCTATACACTACTGTTTATGCTCTAAAAACATTCTAAATGACTTCGTTTCGAGTAAATTCTGGACGCTACCCACTCAGGACACTTGGAATACATTGGACGAGCAGTATGGAGGAATATTGACACGTTTTTTGTGGACTTTTATGGACCTTTCTGCCTCGGGCGCCATAGACCTCCATTATTTGAATGTCAGCAGACAGCAAGAAGCCTCCCAGATCTCCAGATGCATTTGAGATATCAAAAAAGTACTCCAGAGTGTTGTTCAGCATGGGGGTGAGTAGAAAATGAAGGCTAATCATGTTTTGGGTGTACTATTCCTTTAACCTTAGGGAGACAGAGGGAGTCTGTGGTCTTTCTCAGGGACCCAGTCTCAGTGTCTCAGTCCTCACAGCGTCTCATTTGTCTCCAGCGGCTGTCCGGCCAGGGTTACTGTTTTTCTGCCTCCCTTCCTCCGATGCTGGCGGCTGCCGCCATCGAGGCTCTGAACATCATGGAGGAGGACCCAGGTAGGCGTCTGTCCTCGCTGAGACACCTGTTGGTCCATGAATGCTTCAGGTTTCATACTTTTCTCTTTTTGCTTCTTGTTTTTCAGGAATTTTCACAGTTCTGAGAGAGAAATGCGCTCATGTTTATAACGCGCTCCAAGGGTAGGTTCCTTCTAAAGACTCTCCTCATTATCTGGCATTATATGAAGGTAGACTTTGAATTAAAAATAACTTCACTTCAATGAACAAAAACTTTTCAATCAAAGAAAAAAGTATTTTAATGCAAAAATATATTTGAGGCTCAAAAAATACATTTGAACTCTGTTCTTTGATTGAACATGTTTTATTTGATAGTTCAGTTTTTTTTATTTAAATCAACTTTTTTAATTGAAGTAAGATTGTTTTTTGATTGGACCATAGAATGGGCGGGACATTCCTGTCTTTATTATTCAATCAATAAAGAAGTAGCTTCAAACAAGCAAACAGAATCAATAAAAAAGTAACTTCAATGAAAAGATAAACGTTTTCAATCACAGAAAATAGTTTTTAAATGGAAATAAAATATTTTAGACTCAAAAATTGCATTTGAACACTTTTTTAGTGTTGAAAATGTTGTCTTTGGTTGAAGGGATCTATTTTGTGTTTGGGACATACATGGGGGACATTTCTGTCTTAATCATTCGATTCCCAAAAAGATGTTTCAATCAAAAAAAAAAAAAAGAATTCAATCAAGGAAAAAACTGCGAGCTCAAAGTTGTCATGGTTACAAGCTTTATGTTTTTAACAAGACGGATCATGGAGAGCAAGCAGCAGTCTGGATCAATGTTCCCTCCAGTCGCCAATATTTAACTACTGAATCCCAGTTTATTGTTTATTATAATATAAAATATATATTAGTTAACTTGTTGAACGGAAGCGTTTTGGCCCAATTAAAAACAACCAGAGCAGCGGTCTGTTGGTGATGGGTTGGTCTATCTGAACGAGTCCACAGATCGGCTCCTCAGATTCCAGCTTCCAAAAACCTCTAATGCAGCAATAGAGTTGATTCCTTCCTGCTATCATCGCAGCCCCCCCCCACCCCCCAACCCCTTTACAGGAGAACAGAAGACCTCACCTGTTCATCCAGGCCAACAATTCCCTCTAACGACCCCCCTTTCAGAGACATAGACAGGTATGGGGCATTGCAGGCTAACAAAGAAGCCAAACGACCCCCATTCCAAAGGGGGGGACCCGTTCATCCGTTTCTATTTGCATGTTTTCTAAACTAAAACCAGGCTTTGTTGGGCTGCTGGATAAAACCTGGAACTAAACGCTGTTTCTGACATTTGGATTGAAAAATCTTCCTGGATGGAAGAGAAACGTCTTCAAACTGGGAAACAAAGTCCAGGGGATTGATTTTAACTTTTTAGGAATGACCTGGATGACTGAGAATCTTCAGCAGCAAAAAGCGTAATAAATGTGACCAGAAGGAATGAGGTGGTTTTTCCCAGGTGTGTTTTAGGCTTCATGGACTCTGACCTACAATCGACGCTCTGAAAGGATCCAGCTGTTATTTTAGAAAGAAGAAACATTCCAGATCTAGATTATAGATTCTGACGTCTAAAAAAATAAACATTTAGATCGGCAGATCAATTCTCAGAAACTCCGGTTTAACTACTCATTTAATCAGCATCTGGAAATATATTTCTACTCAGAGTATTTACTGTAGCTAACTGGAGCTGGAGGATCTAAAATCAGAGCTCAGAATTCAGGTTCAGACATCCTGGATGTTTATATGAGACGGAAAGAAAATGATTTTATTTTGACTAGAAGAAATGCATCAGTCACGATAATAAACATGAAAATGGCCGCTTCAGATCTGTAAAGATTTCTATTTTCTCTGAAACTTTAATCTTAGCAGTACAGTTATCTGTCTGTCATCCTGAGATGTAGTTTCTACTGCTATCTATTATTCTAGCTTTGGCTAGGAAAGTAGTTCTGACCCTGAAGAATCTGGTTCCAGGGTTAGAACCATCATCACCACTAATGCTTCTAATATTCCACATAATCATTTCTTTCTTCCATAAATGGTTAAATGTGATCGATTTTCACGTCTGTCCTTCTGTCCTGGACGCCGTTTAGATCTGGATGTTCAGCTCCTCCTCTCAGGGCTGCAGCCTTCGGATCTGGTTACCATGGCGATGTGTCTGAAACGGCGGCCATGTTGGACCGACAGCAGCGCTGTTAGAACTCCGATTCTTTAATTATCAATGATGTCATCTTGATGTTTTATTAAACATTCATCCAGATGCGACTCTTAAATCTAGTAATTTTTAATTTTTTATTTTCTTTAATCAATGAACGGAACGTCCAGCGCTCTAAAGACCAGATGCTGATAGAGATTCAATCATTTTTCAGATTTATTTAGTTTAAAAAACGAAGCTTCTCCATTTCTCTGTAATGTCGCCAAATTTGTCCTGTTTTCTTTGTTGGTTGAAAGTTAGAAAACAAATAAAATAGAAATGAATGTAATTATTCTAATAGATTTACAATTAATGTTAGTTTTATTTGATGCGTTGCATAGATTAGCTGTTGCACTGACGGTGGTAACAGATCCGGCAGCATGTGATGATCTTCAGTGTTTGTGACCTCACTAAGATGGCCGACAGGTTCCCTGCAGAAGGAGCTGAGTAATGGCCGCTCTCTGTGTTCCTGTCGGACAGGATTCCGGGTCTGAGGCTGGTTGGAGAACAGTTTGCTCCGGCTCTTCACCTCCAGCTGGAGAAGAGTTCAGGCTCCAGGACGTCCGACCTGCAGCTGCTGCGCTCCATCGTAGATTATGTAAGCATTTCAAACGGATCCTTTCTGATCCAGGATGAGGAACTGGATCCCCCTGATCTCCAGTGACGAATATAAACTGGTTTCAGTCCCAGGAGCAGACCCAGCTAGTCTCCTGAAGCTCCTGGGACTTCCTCACTGTGTTTAGGTCTAAACTGTGTCGTTTGTCAACATGTATCCCTGGTTTCTCCTCCAGTGTTTGGAGAGAAATGTTGCCTTGACTGTTGCTCGCTACCTGGAAAAAGAAGAGCGATTCCTGACGCCTCCCAGGTAAGAGACCAGACTTACATTCACCTGTCCAATACGTCAAATTCAAAGACCAACTGACTTCTATTCAGTTTCTTTCTATGCTCCAATTCACATCATGTCACCTCGGTTCATTTTATAGATCCATATAAATCAGATTATTATAAATCAGATCATCCAGTCAGATTGATTCAAAGTTTTCTATCTGAGGAAAACCAGCTGATTGCATCGACTCATTGACTCTTCAGCAATCCCTCACACTAAGCATGCTTGTAGCGACAGTGGAGAGGAAAAACTCCCTTTGAACAGGAAGAAACCTCCAGCAGAACCAGGCTCAGTGTGAGCGGCCATCTGCTGAGGCCCACTGGGGTTCAAGGAGACAGAAGCAGACATAGAAAAAGAAGCATAGATACAAAAGGCAACTGTCAACCAGCTCCACAGGCGGCCCCGTCCAGGAAACACACAGCCAGGCAGACGAGCTCCGAGCCAGCTCCCATGTCAGAGGATGGAGAGAGCACATCCAGTTAGTCACAGTCAGAGAAACAGGACTACACTGGAAAACAGGCCAAGCTCCAACATCTAGAAACAAAGGTATTGATGGCAGCAGCACAGCTGATATTTCTCTCCAGGATGGAGTCACAGCCAAACAGGAACAGACCAGATGAAGCTACTATGAGAAAAAGCAGAGAGAGCAGAACGTTAGAGATGATGAGCTGCTAAAATGTAACCTTCTTCTGGGGGAGGAGAACTCTGTTAAAGTAATCCTGAAGGTTATTAGAAAGTGGTCAGAGAGGACAGGGTTGTGAGGAAATCCTGTTATTTCTTGTTTCTTCTTAGTGTCTAAGATAGCATTAAAGGCTGCTCTTAAGCTATCGACTTCAATGTCAGCATGGATGGTGGAACAAACTTGTGGGGCATTTCCTCCTTGATGTGTTCTCCAGGCTGCTGCTGTCAAATGTTGGGTTGATTGTGTTGGTGGGACGTTGTAGAGATAACTCCAGTTTACATTTCCCTTTGATGATTGGTTTGGCTATAGAGCTTCTTCTCCATAACCCTTTCATTAAAGGGTTAGGGTACTTAAAGGTGCTAACACGTCCTTCTCCTCTTCTGTTTTCTGCTCCCAGCATCAGAGTGGTGGTCACCATCAAACAGAAGGAGGAGGACATTCAGAAGGCCGTTTCTTGTATCAGAGAGGCAGCTTCGCTTCTCCTAAAGTAGCAGCAAAACGTGAAGAACGGCGCCCCCTGCTGCACTGTTGGAAGAGGACCACCCTGTTCACTGGGGATCAAAGTGGAGCTCTGGAAACATCCTGTTAGATGCAGAGCCTCGAACTGTAACAATGATCTCCATCATGGTTGCACAGAAGATGGCTTCCTGTTTGATGCACTAAATGCTTCCTGCTGCTACTGATGTCAGAGTGGGACTTTTCTTGCCCCTTGAATGGCAGAAAATGAGGTTCCCACCATTTAAAAATGTTCCAGTTGCTCCAGAAACGAGTGACAGGCTAATTTATCTACTGACTGTGCTTTTATTCTGCTCTCTCTCTCTCTCTCTCGCTGTTGGTACATAAGCTTTCTGCTCTGTGATCTAGTTTGTTTACCGTTGAGATTAACCAAAAACATGGTTTTTACTCTGGAATCACTCCCATGATTTTCACTTTTGATATTTTGAGAAAAGTTATTGCATTTCTGATTTTCATTAAAAGTTTAAAAACTTCAAAATGTCCCATTAGTTTTTTATTTGTGTTTTATTTGTCACTGTGTGGTGTGGAGGCTGCAGCGCCTCAGACTGGAAGAACAGCAGAGAGGATCATGGGGGCTCCTCTTCCCTCCATTAAAGACATTTCATCCTGCGTGTCCCGTGACATCATCAGTGACCCCTCACCCCCCCACCATGGACTGTTCTCCCTGCTGCCCTCTGGGCAAAACAAAAATACTGAACAAAATGTAGTTTTGTATTAAAGTTTTCTAAGTTTAATAATGAGGTGAATTGAGGTGTTTATACTTGCTTATAAACGGTGCATCTGATGATTGCCCTCTGGATTATCCTGCCTACCTTCATCTACTGGGTCCTGCTGATCTGCCTGTCCTCTAACCACCGATACATCAGCGTCTGGATCACTGACCTTTGAAAAAGGAGGCAGGGAAAGTAGAATAAAGCCTTAGCCTCGACCATTTATCTCTCTCTCTCTCTCCAATGCATCTCCAGCTCCGTAACTCGACCTGTCAATCACCTGCAAAACGTCTGCGCTGTGGCAGGAGGTAGTGAGCAAATACACTTCCTGTCAGCTCAGGGCGCACCAGAGATGGCCAGCCACCGCTGGTCTCGGCTTCAGTTCTGCAAAGCTGTTGGTAAATTGTGACTGGCTTATTTTGGAGAGTTCTTCTCTCTCAACGCCGCTGTGAGAGCAGAGCTGTTAAAGCGGAAAATGCAATGAAAAGTTCCCCTTAGGCATACCCAGGCACAGCAGATCCGCAACGGGGCACATGCCCCTGTGAAAAGGGTCTGCTGATGCACTGGGGGATGGCCTTGTGTCTTTCATTTGAGTTTGGCTCAGCCGACCGATGAGGGAAGGTAACTGACCATAGGGGCATTCACAAACAATCTCCAGCCCCACATCCCTACTCCTCCATACAGGGCAATGCCAAATGCTTAAAGTCGAAGGGAAGTCATACTTCAATGTCAAATCATTCTGGTTTAAACATGTATATAAATGTTCTCTTTATCAGACCATATTGTCCCAAAATGTAGAAAATTTCTATTTTTAAAACAATCCTGTCTTAAAATCTGTGTTTTTTTCCCGTTATCTTCTGCAGGCCAGTTAGTTCAACGTCAGCCTGAACACCTAAATTCAGCCAATCATATATCAGTGGTCATCTGTCAATCACATGTTTTCAGTCATAGCATCTTGATTCATGTGTCGCAGCTAATATTCGCAACGGTTGAAACCAGAATCCTTTCCTTTCCCATTGAGTTGCGTCCCAGTGTTCACGGGGATGGACGTCTGTGTCTTCGGCAGGCGTAGAGCTAACAGAACTGGCAGCGTTGCGAGACAAGGGCTCAAACATGTACGGCTGGAAGCCTTCTACACCAAACCAAGCTTCTGCCGCCCTGGCGTCCTCTTCCACAACATCTTCGTCCCCGCTTTCCTCCTCTATATAAAAAATGTATGATGGAGGAGACTCATCCACGACCTCCGACACTAAACTCTCCTCCTCTTGCATGTTTCCGCTGTCCATAGCGTTCCTTGACAGCGTCGTTTCTAAGTCACCAATTTAGTGCTACTTGGTCCCAATGGAATTTCCCATTGGGAACCTGCTAGCACTAAGCTGCTAACTGGTTAGCAAGATGCCAGAGTTTGGTCAACAGTGCAGGCACCAAGGCTACGTCCACAAAGCAGCTTGAAGTCACCCACATCTGATTATTTGCCCATATCTCTGTTACAGGGATATGTACCTAAAGCTTTTAAGGTTGCTGGAATTAAACCTCTGCTTAAGAAACCGTCTCTTGACCCAGATGACTTGGTCAATTATAGACCTATATCCAATCTTCCTTTCTGATCTAAAATTCTTGAGAAAGTAGTTGCCAAACAAGTGTGCGATCACTTCCACCATAATGAACTTTTTGAAGAGTTTCAGTCTGGCTTTAGAGCTCATCATAGCACTGAAACAGCTCTGCTGAAAGTCACTAATGATATTCTCATGACCTCAGATAATGGACTTGTATCTGTGCTCGTCCTGTTGGATCTCAGTGCTGCATTTGATACAGTTGATCATAATATTCTTTTAGAAAGACTTGAATATTTAGTTGGAATTAAAGGAACAGCTCTAGACTGGTTTAAATCTGATCGAATTCAGTTTGTTCATGTTAATGATAGATCTTCCACATAAATAAATGATGTTCAAATGTGATATTTAAAGGAAAGATCATCCAATAGAAAGCAGATCAACGTTATAATCAGACACATAATAATTCAGATCATCTGGCAGATCTATGCTTCCATATCTACCGCCTGGTTTTTATCAATTCTGTTTCATTTTAAAAAATGATTACCTTTAATATCACCTGTATTTTTGTTGGAATGTGATGCTTCCTAAATCTTCTCTCTGCATTTTGAAAAAGCTGCTTTTCTGTTTTTAGTTTTCACAGATTCAAATTTAAATCAGTTTGGCCAGCAGAGGTCGCCCTTTTACTGTCATACTTTATCTTGGATTATAGAAACATTTGAGGCAACATGTGGAAGGATTCAGCCATCAAAGGGATTTAAATATTGCTCTGGTTGATCTTCAACATCTCTGTCCCAATAATCATGTAATGGCTCATTCAGTAAAACACTTTGGTTCAAATTCAATTTCTTAAACTCTTACCTGGTTTAAAACAGCTAATCTGGTCCAATCTAGGTCAGATTACTAGTTTGGAGTTTACTAAATCAGTTCCAGGCTGGGGCGTAATGAAAGTGCCCCTGGTTCCAGTTGAGCAGTTCCTCCTTTCTGTTTGGGTTCTGCAGGAACTCTGCCGAAACGTTTGACTGGATGGATTTATTACTTGGATTCACTGATGAAATAGATGATTTTATATGAATTCTATTTGAATGAAGTTCAGTTTAACATTCAGCATATTGAACGCACCCCTCAAACTGTGGTTCTGTTGGTGTTTTAGAGATTTGGCTGCTTTCCAATCCACTCAGCATCTTTTAATGTAAACATGTGGTTCTAATAAATGCTGGTTTTAGTTTGTAGATTAGATCTAATCTGCATTTTCACCTTTCATTGCCAATAAGGACTAAACTCTGAGTGAAGCTGTTATAAAAGGTTCTGAATGAATAAACTTAGTGGAATAGAATATAGAGAATATAGAATCTAAAAGCAGATGCTGTCTGTGGGGTAGAAAGGCTGCAGACGGTCCTGAAACGGGTCTCAGATCCAGCAATAATGAAGCAGCGAGCATCAGAAAAACTCTGACCTTCCCTGAGGAAGGAGGGATGCTGGTGATGAACCAGCTGAGTCAGAAGATGATGGCTGACTCAGACTCCGCCAGAAATAAACAGTCAGAACATACCTCCTCTATAGACTATAGATCTATAGATTTATCATTGAACTACATTCAAAGCTGATCTTTATATTCAATGAAAATATGTCTGCAAAAATCTCTGATTAGTTTACTTCTTTATTAGTAGTTTGTAAAAAAAAAAAATACCGCACAGTATTTTGTTTGTTTACTTTTTGACTCTGTCCCTTTTATTTTTATTCATGTTTAAGATCCATTTTATCTACAGCAATCCCACATTCTGGGACAATAAAGGGATTTTCTATTCTATTCTGTTCTATTGTATTTTTGCAGTAGTAATATTAGCATTATTAATATTAGTAGTAGTAACAGTAGTACTAGTAGCAGTAGAAGTTTTCGTTATCCTCGCTCTTGTTTTTATCCTGTTTTCTTGTCTGTAAATGTCAATAAAGTAAAGAAAGAAAAAAAGAAACACTTCCTGTTTGAGGGAATCCTGGGTGCTGATTGGCTGAGGCGGCTGCCTGAAGTGAGCCGCTACTAGAGGTGTGTGTCAGAGGAGAAGCAGAGGAGGAGCAGAGGAGGAGCAGAGGAGGAGCAGAGCCGGAGCAGAGCCGGAGCAGAGGAGCAGAGGAGCTGACACCGAACCGGGATCTGGATCAGGTGAACTGGACTCATCTTCTAGGCTCTAAAGAACCGCAGATCCAGTGAATCTGCAGAAGAACCGATTCTTTCAGGGAATCGTTTCGGGTTTTTAAAACGTTCTTTGTTGGAGATTCGGATCACAGAGCTTTATGGGTCACCGGTTCCGGTTCTGCTGACCGGACCAGCGACTGTGACGTCATAGAACCGACTCATGTCCTGGTTCCGTCTTTCTGTCGCGTGTTGCTCCTTTAAATGCTGAAAACAACCGGAATCATTGCGTCATAGCCTTTATCGTAGCAGAATTTAATGTTAAAATTAGGAAAAGGATAAATGATGGAAATGATTGCAATATTATTAGCTGTTAATGGGTGGAAGAAGTTAAGCCATTAAGATCAGTCATATGATCAGATTCTAGTTCATCTTTAATTAGTTTGCAGTAGAGTCACTCAGAAAGCAGGCCAGATATTTTAATAGAAATTCAACTATATAGAATAAATATGATGGGTTTAGTTATAAATGTTGTATGGATACCGGCACATTATGGAATTAAAGGAAATGAACAAGTAGATAAGGCAGCAAAAGAAGATACTAAAAATGTGTCAGTGGATTTATTTGTTAATTTTAGCAAATCTGAAGTTAAAATGTTAATTAAACAGAAAATAAAGGATAAATAGCAAAACGAATGGGAGAAAGGAAATAAAGGACGTTGGTTTTATAAAATTCAAAAGAAAATTGGAGAAATGAGAAGAACAGAAAGAACAAGAGGAGAAGAAACAATCATTTCTCGATTAAGGTTTGGTCATACCGGATTAAATGGTACTCTGTTTATCTTAGGAAAACATAGGAATGGGAAATGCTAATATTGTGGGGTAGATGAAACAGCTGAGCACGTGATGTTATACTGTAACAAATATGAGGAGGAGAGAAAGCAATTCATTCAAAATATGAGTAAAGTAAAAGTTAAATTAGATTTATTTCAATTATTCAGAAGTTATTCAGATAGTAATATTTACAGTATAGTATTTCGATATCTAAAAATAACACATTTTCTATGATAGAATTTAATTCCTGAGAGTCATTCTGGTCCACACTCCATTCCAGTAGATGGCGGAAATGCATCTATCTGTTGTTTGCCAACCGCCAAAAATATCAAAGAAGAAGAAGAATCATTGCGTCATACCGCCGATGACGTCATAGAGGGCTTTGGAACCAAAAGCTTGGCTGCTCTGTACGGAACCTCCGGTTCTGATGAGGTCACCTTGGTTCTGATGAGGAGCAGGAAACATGGCTGCTGGTTCCGGAATGATCTGAGCGTCAGACCAGTGGCGTCCAGGACCGGAACCGCCGCCATGATGGTTCTAACCGAGCTGGTTCTGACCAAAGAAGTTCTTCACTGATTCAGAACCGGTACCGCTCAGATGAACCGGATCGGGTCTGAAACTGTTCTGCTTTGTTCTGTTCACAGCTCTCCTGACCCGGGTCCAGATGGTCGCCATGGCTACCAGCTGAGCCTCCTCCCAGCAGCATGCAGGTGGCGCCGCAGGATACCGACTCCAGCGGCGAGGATGCGCTGGTTCTGGCCTTACACGGACCCAACAGAACCCTGCCAGCGGTCCCTCTGAAGAATAGATCTATGCTCCGCAGGAAACGGGAATTCATCCCGGAGGAGAAGAAAGACTCGGTCTACTGGGAGAGGCGCCGCAGGAACAACGAAGCCGCCAAACGCTCCAGGGAGAAGCGGCGCTTCAACGACCTGGTTCTGGAGAACCAGCTGATGGCGCTGGGCGAGGAGAACGCTTCGCTGAGGGCCGAGCTGCTGGCGCTGAAGATCAAGTTCGGCTTGGTGAGCTCCTCGGCCCACCAGGAGGTCCGGTCCGGCCAGCGGTTCATGAAAGCAGACCTAGAGCAGGTAGATCTGCCAAACACATCCGTCATGGAACTCTCGCCTCTAGTGCCTGAAATGTGGGCAGCAAAGCGGGCCTTGCTCTTCAGAACAGAAGATCTGAAGCAAGAAGCAGAAGAGAGCAGCGCTGCTTCTGAACAGGTCAGAACCGGCCCGGTTCTGGTCCGCCTGCAGCCTGCCGGGTCGTCCAGTAACTCCCCCAGAACCTGGGAGGAAAACGCCGTCAGTGAGGATGAGCAGCGGGTCCCCAAGGGTCCGGCCTCGTCTGCAGCCGACCAAAGAAGCGTCATCGTTTCCGCCCACAAAGTGCCAGAACCCGGTTCTTCAGCTTTGCCCCATAAGCTGCGGATCAAATCCAGAACCATCCAGATCAAAGCGGAGCCTCCAGACCCTGAGTATGAGGCGGCGCCTCCTGTCCGCTGTCCCCTGTCCCTACAGGTGTCCAACATGCTGGGCTGCGCCCATTCTGCCCAGTGGCTGAATCAGTAGGAGGAGCCTGAGACCTTCACCTCCTGCTGTGTGGCCTGTTGGACCAGCCCGACCCGGGTTCTAACCTGAGGTTCTAACCTGAGGTTCTAACCTGAGGTTCTAACCTGAGGTTCTAATCCAGGTCCTTACCCCGGTTTTAACCTGGGATCTAACCTGGGTTCTAACTCAGGTTCTAACCTGGGTTCTAAACACGGTTTTGACCTGGGATCTAACCGGGGTTCTAATCTGGTTCTAAAAAAGGTTCTAACTCAGGTTGTAACTCAGATTTTATCCTGGGATCTAACTCAGATTTTAACCTAGGATCTAACCTGGGTTCTATCTCAGGGTTTTAGTCTGGGTTCTAACTCAGGTTCTAACAAAGGTTCTAACCTAGGTTCTAACTCCGGTTTTAACCTAGGATCTAACCCAGGTTGTAACTTAGGTTCTAACTCAGGTTCTAACCCAGGTTCTAATTCAGGTTCTAACCCGGGTTCTGAGGCAGGATGAGGAATGGTTCTGGAACAGATGTGGATGTTTGGTTCATGATGATCGGTTTATTAAAATGACAAAATGTTGAGTTTTTCATTGATTTTTTAAGCAAATGTTCATTAAAGTATTTAAAGTTTGGATGTTTTATTGATTTTTTTAATCCTTGGATTCTATAAACTTTTCATGAATCGTCTGATGGTGAAAAATATCGGAGTGTAAAGCTGTTAGAGGGCAGCAGCAGGGATTTTAAACCTGGTTATTGGCTGAACTCAGAGCCCAGAACCATCACTGGGTCGCTCATGGCCGCTAACGCTAACGTTTGCATTAACCTAAAACTGTCCTCCCACAGAGGCCTGCTTCTGAACAGGTCAAAGGTCAGCGACAGAACTGGAACCAGGCAGACCTGCAGCCTGGTTCTGACTGGCTCAGGACTGTAGTCTCTGTCGGGGAACAAACTGATCATAGCACTGAAACAGCTCTGGTGAAAGTCACTAATGATATTCTCATGGCCTCAGATAATGGACTTGTATCTGTGCTCGTCCTGTTGGATCTTAGTGCTGCATTTGATACAGTTGACCATAATATTCTTTTAGAAAGACTTGAATATTTTGTTGGAATTAAAGGTACAGCTCTAGACTGGTTTAAATCTGATCTATCTGATCGATTTCAGTTTGTTCATGTTAATGATAGATCTTCCTCATGCTCAAAGGTTACCTGTGGAGTACCACAGGGATCAGTGCTAGGACCAATTCTCTTTACTTTATACATGCTCCCAATTGGTAGAATTATTAGACAGCATGGGATTAATTTCCACTGTTATGCTGATGATACCCAGCTATATCTGTCTATAATCCAGATGAAGCTAACCCATTACATAGATTACAGGCATGTCTTGAAGACATAAAAACCTGGATGACTCTTAACTTTCTGCTTCTGAATGCAGACAAAACAGAAGTTATAGTCTTTGGACCAGAGTCTCTGAAAAAGAAACTGATTAGTCAGTCACTTCATTTGGATGGGATTAAACTGATTTCAGATAATAAAGTAAAAAATCTTGGTGTTATTTTTGATCAGGACCTGTCATTTAAATCCCAGATCAAAGAGGTTTCTAGAATTTCCTTCTTTCATCTGAGGAATATTGCAAAAATGAGCAATCTCCTGTCCAGGGGTGATGCTGAGAAACTAGTCCATGCATTTGTTACTTCAAGGCTGGACTATTGTAATTCTTTACTATCAGGAAGTCCACAAACTGTAGTTAAAAGCCTTCAGCTGATCCAAAATGCTGCAGCCAGAGCTCTGATGAAAATGAAAAAGAGAGATCATATCTCTCCTATCCTGGCTTCTCTTCATTGGCTTCCTGTTAAATCCAGAATAGAATTTAAAATCCTCCTTCTCACATATAAAGCCTTAAATGGCTCCATCTGATATCAGAGATCTGATTGTTCCTTATGTTCCTAACAGAGCACTTCGCTCTCAATCTGCAGGTTTACTAGTGGTTCCTAGAATTTATCTTCTCCTGGTTTTAATGAGCTTCTTTAACTGAAAGTATTATTATAGACAAAAACATCTGTAAAGAAATTAAAAGTGATGCACTTTATCAAAGAGGTCGAATGTGATGATTAGAACCTCTGGTAAAAAGGATGGAATCAGCACCTCAGTTCATTTAGTAGATAAAGAGCAGATCACAGAAAGAAAACTAAAGTCATTTCAAATGTCTGCCTTTAAGAAACACTAAAAGAAACCAAGAAATAAAATATGTTAGTTAAACATTCTAATGAAACTGAATGAACGTCCTCTGAGGCGCCTGTCATGCTGAGAATTCCCTCCCTCTGGAACACTGATGACAAAAAGGATTAAATATGAATGAAATGGACACTTTTAAACATATTCTTTAATGTTTTCATATTTCTTATGCATGGATGCTCTAATGTTGACAGTTTGCACTAAAACTGAGAGTTTTGATGGACAGAAAAATTCAAATGAAAATGATTTTTCTTGTACGGAGACACGATGAGCTGCAGGCTGATGAATAAATTCTCTGCTCAGTGGAGGATTTGCTCTCAACACCATTTTAGATCTTTGCTGACAGACATGAGGATGTTAGGGACTCAGGACACGCACCGCCTCACTGGTCCTCACTGCGGAGGATGAGGAGAGCCCCCCTGCCCCCCCACCTTCTCCAGAAGCACCATAGAGAGCGTCCTGCCCCCCCCCATCCTCCCCACCTCCTCCAGAAGCACCATAGAGAGCCCACCTGCCCCCCCCCCATAGAGAGCGTTCTGAGCAGCTGTCTCACTGTGTGGTGTGGAGGCTGCAGCGCCTCAGACTGGAAGAAGGTGAGAACAGCAGAGAGGATCATGGGGGCTCCTCTTCCCTCCATTAAAGACATTTCATCCCAGCGCTGCGTGTCCCGAGCCCGTGACATCATCAATGACCCCTCACCCCCCCACCATGCTGCCCTCTGGGAAGAGGCTTCCCAGCATTCAATGCAGGACCAGCAGGTTCTGCAGCAGCTTCTTCCCCACCGCAATCACACTGATCAATGTGCTGCCGTCCTTGTTAGTTTTTAGAGAGTTTTAATAAACTCTCTCTATCCTGATAACAAAGCCTCCAATAATATTCACCTGTAATTGATTTAAACGCTGGTTAATTGGTTTTCCTGTTATCACTCCTTTCACAGTTTTATTCTCTCCAATGACTTTTATCTCCATCATTTCTTTTCCCTCAGTGTCCAAAATCCAAAGCTTTGATTTTTTTTGCTCCTAATTTTTCCAAATTACCAGAAAGTTTCCATCTATCAACTCCTTCATTGATTCTTCTTCCCCAATGTTCTTATTTATTTATCTGGAAATCAAAATGGGGCTGAAATGAATCTAAATATTATTTTTATTTCTTTTCTATCAACCTTCCTGCTAACATCTCTGAGCTGCTTTCTGACTATTCCACTTTATTTCCTTCATTCTCCAACCACCTCTCTCCCGTTTTCCCTCCTCTATCTCTCTTTCCCATTTCAAACTGTTGTCCAGCCTTCCTCATCTTCCTCATCCTCATCATCCTCATCATCCTCCTCATCCTCCTCATCCTCTGACCTGCCAGGTCTTCCATCCACCAACCCATCAGGTCATAAACCAGCAGCAGGTGTTTCTCAGCTCCTCTATCATTTTAACCAGGTGATGAACAACGGGAAGCAATGAGGGACATATTTAACAGGGAATATTAAATCAGACAGAAACTCAGCAAATACGGAAAACTTGGAATAAAAAAAATAAACACTAAAATAACTAAATTATAGACTTTAAAGCTCTGGAATACAAAGACTTCATTTCTATTTTAAAGTAACAGTTTATCGGTCGTCTTCCTGTCCAGGCCAGCAGGTGGCGGCAGAGCAGCAGTTTGCTGTTAGACCGAAGAAGAAGCAGAGGAAGGGACACCATGGCCGCTGCGGTGGGACGAGTGGCCCTCAGGTGGCCCCTGGCTGTCGGAAGGGCCCGCTGCCTCACGGCCTCCTGCCGACGGATGAGCTCCGAACCCAGAGAGGAGCTGAAGGTCCGCAACCTGGATGGAGAAGATTCTGGTAGGTGGAGGAGATTCTGCTGGGTGGAGGAGGTTCTGCTGGGTGGAGGAGGCTCTGCTGGGTGGAGGAGGCTCTGCTGGGTGGAGGAGGTTCTGCTGGGTGGAGGAGGTTCTGCTGGGTGGAGGAGGCTCTGCTGGGTGGAGGAGGCTCTGCTGGGTGGAGGAGGTTCTGCTGGGTGGAGGAGGTTATGCTGGGTGGAGGAGGCTCTGCTGGGTGGAGGAGGTTCTACTGGGTGGAGGAGGCTCTGCTGGGTGGAGGAGGCTCTGCTGGGTGGAGGAGATTCTGCTGGGTGGAGGAGGTTCTGCTGGGTGGAGGAGATTCTGCTGGGTGGAGGAGGTTCTGCTGGGTGGAGGAGATTCTGCTGGGTGGAGGAGGTTCTGCTGGGTGGAGGAGGCTCTGCTGGGTGGAGGAGGCTCTGCTGGGTGGAGGAGGTTCTACTGGGTGGAGGAGGCTCTGCTGGGTGGAGGAGGTTCTGCTGGGTGGAGGAGGCTCTGCTGGGTGGAGGAGGTTCTGCTGGGTGGAGGAGGTTCTGCTGGGTGGAGGAGGCTCTGCTGGGTGGAGGAGGCTCTGCTGGGTGGAGGAGGTTCTACTGGGTGGAGGAGGCTCTGCTGGGTGGAGGAGGTTCTGCTGGGTGGAGGAGGTTCTGCTGGGTGGAGGAGGCTCTGCTGGGTGGAGGAGGTTCTGCTGGGTGGAGGAGGTTATGCTGGGTGGAGGAGGCTCTGCTGGGTGGAGGAGGTTCTACTGGGTGGAGGAGGCTCTGCTGGGTGGAGGAGGCTCTGCTGGGTGGAGGAGGCTCTGCTGGGTGGAGGAGGTTCTGCTGGGTGGAGGAGGTTCTGCTGGGTGGAGGAGGTTCTGCTGGGTGGAGGAGGCTCTGCTGGGTGGAGGAGGTTCTGGTAGGTGGAGGAGATTCTGCTGGGTGGAGGAGGCTCTGCTGGGTGGAGGAGGTTCTGGTAGGTGGAGGAGGTTCTGCTGGGTGGAGGAGGCTCTGCTGGGTGGAGGAGGCTCTGCTGGGTGGAGGAGATTCTGCTGGGTGGAGGAGGTTCTGCTGGGTGGAGGAGGCTCTGCTGGGTGGAGGAGGCTCTGCTGGGTGGAGGAGGTTCTGCTGGGTGGAGGAGGCTCTGCTGGGTGGAGGAGGTTCTGCTGGGTGGAGGAGGCTCTGCTGGGTGGAGGAGGTTCTGCTGGGTGGAGGAGATTCTGCTGGGTGGAGGAGGCTCTGCTGGGTGGAGGAGGCTCTGCTGGGTGGAGGAGGTTCTGCTGGGTGGAGGAGGTTCTGCTGGGTGGAGGAGGCTCTGCTGGGTGGAGGAGGCTCTGCTGGGTGGAGGAGGTTCTGCTGGGTGGAGGAGGTTATGCTGGGTGGAGGAGGCTCTGCTGGGTGGAGGAGGTTCTGCTGGGTGGAGGAGGCTCTGCTGGGTGGAGGAGGCTCTGCTGGGTGGAGGAGATTCTGCTGGGTGGAGGAGGTTCTGCTGGGTGGAGGAGATTCTGCTGGGTGGAGGAGGTTCTGCTGGGTGGAGGAGGTTCTGCTGGGTGGAGGAGGTTCTGCTGGGTGGAGGAGGTTCTGCTGGGTGGAGGAGGTTCTGCTGGGTGGAGGAGGCTCTGCTGGGTGGAGGAGGCTCTGCTGGGTGGAGGAGGCTCTGCTGGGTGGAGGAGGTTCTGCTGGGTGGAGGAGGCTCTGCTGGGTGGAGGAGGTTCTGCTGGGTGGAGGAGGCTCTGCTGGGTGGAGGAGGCTCTGCTGGGTGGAGGAGGCTCTGCTGGGTGGAGGAGGTTCTACTGGGTGGAGGAGGCTCTGCTGGGTGGAGGAGGTTCTGCTGGGTGGAGGAGGTTCTGCTGGGTGGAGGAGGCTCTGCTGGGTGGAGGAGGTTCTGCTGGGTGGAGGAGGTTATGCTGGGTGGAGGAGGCTCTGCTGGGTGGAGGAGGTTCTACTGGGTGGAGGAGGCTCTGCTGGGTGGAGGAGGCTCTGCTGGGTGGAGGAGGTTCTGCTGGGTGGAGGAGGTTCTGCTGGGTGGAGGAGGCTCTGCTGGGTGGAGGAGGTTCTGCTGGGTGGAGGAGGCTCTGCTGGGTGGAGGAGGTTCTGGTAGGTGGAGGAGATTCTGCTGGGTGGAGGAGGCTCTGCTGGGTGGAGGAGGTTCTGGTAGGTGGAGGAGGTTCTGCTGGGTGGAGGAGGCTCTGCTGGGTGGAGAAGGTTCTACTGGGTGGAGGAGGTTCTGCTGGGTGGAGGAGGTTCTGCTGGGTGGAGAAGATTTTGGTAGGTGGAGGAGGTTCTGCTGGGTGGAGGAGATTCTGCTGGGTGGAGGAGGTTCTGCTGGGTGGAGGAGGTTCTGCTGGGTGGAGGAGGTTCTACTGGGTGGAGGAGGCTCTGCTGGGTGGAGGAGGTTCTGCTGGGTGGAGGAGGTTATGCTGGGTAGAGGAGGCTCTGCTGGGTGGAGGAGGTTCTACTGGGTGGAGGAGGCTCTGCTGGGTGGAGGAGGCTCTGCTGGGTGGAGGAGGTTCTGCTGGGTGGAGGAGGTTCTGCTGGGTGGAGGAGGCTCTGCTGGGTGGAGGAGGTTCTGCTGGGTGGAGGAGGTTATGCTGGGTGGAGGAGGCTCTGCTGGGTGGAGGAGGTTCTACTGGGTGGAGGAGGCTCTGCTGGGTGGAGGAGGCTCTGCTGGGTGGAGGAGGCTCTGCTGGGTGGAGGAGGCTCTGCTGGGTGGAGGAGGTTCTGGTAGGTGGAGGAGGTTCTGCTAGGTGGAGGAGGCTCTGCTGGGTGGAGAAGGTTCTACTGGGTGGAGGAGGTTCTGCTGGGTGGAGGAGGTTCTGCTGGGTGGAGAAGATTCTGGTAGGTGGAGGAGGTTCTGCTGGGTGGAGGAGGTTCTGCTGGGTGGAGGAGATTCTGCTGGGTGGAGGAGGTTCTGCTGGCTGGAGGAAGTTCTGCTGGGTGGAGGAGGTTCTGCTGGGTGGAGGAGGCTCTGCTGGGTGGAGGAGGTTCTGCTGGGTGGAGAAGGTTCTACTGGGTGGAGGAGGTTCTGCTGGGTGGAGGAGGTTCTGCTGGGTGGAGAAGATTCTGGTAGGTGGAGGAGGTTCTGCTGGGTGGAGGAGATTCTGCTGGGTGGAGGAGGTTCTGCTGGGTGGAGAAGGTTCTACTGGGTGGAGGAGGTTCTGCTGGGTGGAGGAGGTTCTGCTGGGTGGAGGAGATTCTGCTGGGTGGAGGAGGTTCTGCTGGGTGGAGGAGATTCTGCTGGGTGGAGGAGGTTCTGCTGGGTGGAGGAGGTTCTGCTGGGTGGAGGAGGCTCTGCTGGGTGGAGGAGGTTCTGGTAGGTGGAGGAGGTTCTGGTAGGTGGAGGAGGTTCTTCTGGGTGGAGGAGGCTCTGCTGGGTGGAGGAGGCTCTGCTGGGTGGAGGAGGTTCTGGTAGGTGGAGGAGGTTCTGGTAGGTGGAGGAGGCTCTGCTGGGTGGAGGAGGTTCTGCTGGGTGGAGGAGGTTCTGGTAGGTGGAGGAGGTTCTGGTAGGTGGAGGAGGTTCTTCTGGGTGGAGGAGGTTCTTCTGGGTGGAGGAGGTTCTGGTAGGTGGAGGAGGCTCTGCTGGGTGGAGGAGGTCCCACTGCAGGTCCTGGTCCTACTGCAGGTCCTGACTCTGCTGCAGGTCGTGGTCCCACTGCAGGTCCTGGTCCTACTGCAGGTCCTGGTCCTGCTTCAGGTCCTGGTCCTACTGAAGGTCCTGGTCCCGCTTCAGGTCCTGGTCCTACTGCAGGTCCTGGTCCCGCTTCAGGTCCTGGTCCTTCTGCAGGTCCTGGTCCTACTGCAGGTCCTGGTCCCGCTTCAGGTCCTGGTCCTACTGCAGGTCCTGGTCCCGCTTCAGGTCCTGGTCCCACTGCAGTTCCTGTTCCCACTGCAGGTCCTGGTCCTACTGCAGGTCCTGGTCCCGCTTCAGGTCCTGGTCCCACTGCAGTTCCTGTTCCCACTGCAGGTCCTGGTCCTACTGCAGGTCCTGGTCCCACTGCAGGTCCTGGTCCTACTGCAGGTCCTGACTCTGCTGCAGGTCTTGGTCCCGCTGCAGGTCCTGGCTCTGCTACAGGTCTTGGTCCCGCTGCAGGTCCTGGTCCTACTGCAGGTCCTGGTCCCGCTTCAGGTCCTGGTCCTTCTGTAGGTCCTGGTCCCGCTTCAGGTCCTGGTCCTTCTGCAGGTCCTGGTCCCGCTTCAGGTCCTGGTCCTTCTGCAGGTCCTCATCCCGCTGCAGGTCGTGGTCCCGCTTCAGGTCGTGGTCCCGCTTCAGGTCCTGGTTCTGCTGCAGGTCCTCGTCCCGCTGCAAGTCATGGTCCCGCTGCAGGTCGTGGTTCTGCTGCAGGTCCTGGTCCTGCTGCAGGTCCTAAACCTGTTTTTTCTTGCAAGTCCTGACTCTGCTGCAGGTCATCGTCCCGCTGCAGGTCGTGGTCCCGCTGCAGGTCCTGGTCCCGCTGCAGGTCCTAAACCTGGTTTTTCTTGCAAGTCCTGACTCTGCTGCAGGTCGTGGTCCTGCTGGAGGTCCTGGTTCCTCTGCAGGTCCTGGTCCCGCTGCAGGTCCTGGTCCCGCTGCAGGTCCTGGTCCCGCTGCAGGTCTTGGTCCCGCTGCAGGTCTTGGTCCCGCTGCAGGTCCTGACTCTGCTTCAGGTCGTGGTCCCGCTGCAGGTCCTGGTTCTGCTGCAGGTCGTGGTCCCGCTGCAGGTCCTGGTTCTGCTGCAGGTCCTGACGCTGCTGCAGGTCTTGGTCCCGCTGCAGGTCCTGGTCCTGCTGCAGGTCCTAAACCTGGTTTTTCTTGCAAGTCCTGACTCTCCTGCAGTTCCTGGTCCCGCTGCAGGTCCTGACTCTGCTGCAGATCTTGGTCCCGCTGCAGGTCCTGACTCTGCTGCAGGTCGTGGTCCCGCTGCAGGTCTTGGTCCCGCTGCAGGTCCTGACTCTGCTTCAGGTCGTGGTCCCGCTGCAGGTCCTGGTTCTGCTGCAGGTCGTGGTCCCGCTGCAGGTCCTGGTTCTGCTGCAGGTCCTGACTCTGCTGCAGGTCCTGGTCCCGCTGCAGGTCCTGGTCCCGCTGCAGGTCCTGGTTCTGCTGCAGGTCCTGGTCCCGCTGCAGGTCCTGGTCCCGCTGCAGGTCCTAAACCTGGTTTTTCTTGCAAGTCCTGACTCTGCTGCAGGTTGTGGTCCTGCTGGAGGTCCTGGTTCCTCTGCAGGTTCTGGTCCCACTGCAAGTCCTGGTCCCACTGCAGGTCCTGGTCCCACTGCAGGTCCTGACTCTGCTGCAGGTCTTGGTCCCGCTGCAGGTCCTGGTCCCACTGCAGGTCCTGACTCTGCTGCAGGTCTTGGTCCCACTGCAGGTCCTGACTCTGCTGCAGGTCTTGGTCCCGCTGCAGGTCCTGACTCTGCTGCAGGTCGTGGTCCCGCTGCAGGTCCTGGTTCTGCTGCAGGTCCTGGTTCTGCTGCAGTCCTGGTTCTGCTGCAGGTCCTGACTCTGCTGCAGGTCTTGGTCCCGCTGCAGGTCCTGACTCTGCTACAGGTCGTGGTCCCGCTGCAGGTCCTGGTTCTGCTGCAGGTCCTGGTTCTGCTGCAGGTCCTGACTCTGCTGCAGGTCCTGGTCCCGCTGCAGGTCGTGGTTCTGCTGCAGGGCCACTGGTGCCGTAAAAAAAAGGAACCAGCCAGGTAGTTCCTGTGGCTCGGTTCCAGCCACAGAAGGTTCTTGGTGACCCGTAGCCTCTGGATCCTCTGGCTGCTGGTAGCGGCGTCCATACCGGGTCCAGGGCTACGGGTCGGGTCGCGGTCTTTATTAGAACCACAACTGGCCCGCTCAGTGATTGTTGTCTTCATGTTTTTCAGGAATCGTGGTGGTTGGGATAAATCGACCAAAGGCCAAAAACTCCATCAGCAGGAACCTGGTCCATCTGGTTGGTATTCTCAGACTGCTCCTTAACGACCTTTAACGACGGTTACTATGGAAACCTCTTGTCAGGATTCAGACCTTCACTGATGCAGCTGCGACCCAAAGTCTGCTGGGTATCATTCACCAGCTGTGTGAACAATGACAGGAGATCAGCCTGTCCTTCACACCAGAAGCACCTCTAGGGAGGATTCTCAGAGCGCGCCTAGATGTCCTTTCTATCCAGAAAGCTCTCCTTCTCAGCGCTACCGTTTCGCCTCCTAATCCATCCCAGACATCCAGACCTGATCCGTCCTGAACAGGTCCTACCTCAACATGAGGAGGAACCCATGGGACGATGAACAGGTCCTACCTCATCATGAGGAGGAACCCATGGGACGATGAACAGGTCCTACCTCAACATGAGGAGGAACCCATGGGACGATGAACAGGTCCTACCTCATCATGAGGAGGAACCCATGAGACGATGAACAGGTCCTACCTCAACATGAGGAGGAATCCATGAGACGATGAACAGGTCCTACCTCATCATGAGGAGGAACCCATGAGACGATGAACAGGTCCTACCTCATCATGAGGAGGAACCCATGAGACGATGAACAGGTCCTACCTCATCATGAGGAGGAACCCATGAGACGATGAACAGGTCCTACCTCAACATGAGGAGGAATCCATGAGACGATGAACAGGTCCTACCTCAACATGAGGAGGAACCCATGGGACGATGAACAGGTCCTACTTCAACATGAGGAGGAACCCATGAGACGATGAACAGGTCCTACCTCAACATGAGGAGGAACCCATGGGACGATGAACAGGTCCTACCTCAACATGAGGAGGAACCCATGGGACGATGAACAGGTCCTACCTCAACATGAGGAGGAACCCATGGGACGATGAACAGGTCCTACCTCAACATGAGGAGGAATCCATGAGACGATGAACAGGTCCTACCTCATCATGAGGAGGAACCCATGAGACGATGAACAGGTCCTACCTCAACATGAGGAGGAACCCATGAGACGATGAACAGGTCCTACCTCAACATGAGGAGGAACCCATGGGACGATGAACAGGTCCTACCTCAACATGAGGAGGAACCCATGGGACGATGAACAGGTCCTACCTCATCATGAGGAGGAACCCATGAGACGATGAACAGGTCCTACCTCATCATGAGGAGGAACCCATGAGACGATGAACAGGTCCTACCTCAACATGAGGAGGAACCCATGGGACGATGAACAGGTCCTACCTCAACATGAGGAGGAACCCATGGGACGATGAACAGGTCCTACCTCATCATGAGGAGGAACCCATGGGACGATGAACAGGTCCTACCTCATCATGAGGAGGAACCCATGAGACGATGAACAGGTCCTACCTCAACATGAGGAGGAACCCATGAGACGATGAACAGGTCCTACCTCATCATGAGGAGGAACCCATGAGACGATGAACAGGTCCTACCTCAACATGAGGAGGAACCCATGAGACGATGAACAGGTCCTACCTCATCATGAGGAGGAACCCATGGGACGATGAACAGGTCCTACCTCATCATGAGGAGGAACCCATGGGACGATGAACAGGTCCTACCTCAACACGAGGAGGAACCCATGAGACGATGAACAGGTCCTACCTCAACATGAGGAGGAACCCATGAGACGATGAACAGGTCCTACCTCAACATGAGGAGGAACCCATGGGACGATGAACAGGTCCTACTTCAACATGAGGAGGAACCCATGAGACGATGAACAGGTCCTACCTCAACATGAGGAGGAACCCATGGGACGATGAACAGGTCCTACCTCAACACGAGGAGGAACCCATGAGACGATGAACAGGTCCTACCTCAACATGAGGAGGAACCCATGAGACGATGAACAGGTCCTACCTCAACATGAGGAGGAACCCATGGGACGATGAACAGGTCCTACTTCAACATGAGGAGGAACCCATGAGACGATGAACAGGGCCTACCTCAACATGAGGAGGAACCCATGGGACGATGAACAGGTCCTACCTCAACATGAGGAGGAACCCATCGGACGATGAACAGGTCCTACCTCAACATGAGGAGGGACCCATGGGACGATGAACAGGTCCTAACTCATCATGAGGAGGAACCCATGGGACGATGAACAGGTCCTACCTCATCATGAGGAGGAACCCATGAGACGATGAACAGGTCCTACCTCAACATGAGGAGGAACCCATGAGACGATGAACAGGTCCTACCTCATCATGAGGAGGAATCCATGAGACGATGAACAGGTCCTACCTCATCACGAGGAGGAACCCATGGGACGATGAACAGGTCCTACCTCATCATGAGGAGGAACCCATGGGACGATGTACAGGTCCTAACTCAACATGAGGAGGAACCCATGGGACGATGAACAGGTCCTACCTCAACATGAGGAGGAACCCATGAGACGATGAACAGGTCCTACCTCAACATGAGGAGGAACCCATGGGACGATGAACAGGTCCTACCTCAACATGAGGAGGAACCCATGAGACGATGAACAGGTCCTACCTCAACATGAGAAAGAATCCATGAGACGTTGAACAGGTCCTACCTCAACATGAGGAGGAACCCATGGGACGATGAACAGGTCCTACTTCAACATGAGGAGAAAGTCATGAGACGATGAACAGGTCCTACCTCAACATGAGGAGGAACCCATGGGACGATGAACAGGTCCTACCTCAACATGAGGAGGAACCCATGGGACGATGAACAGGTCCTACCTCAACATGAGGAGGAACCCATGGGACGATGAACAGGTCCTACCTCAACATGAGGAGGAATCCATGAGACGATGAACAGGTCCTACCTCATCATGAGGAGGAACCCATGAGACGATGAACAGGTCCTACCTCAACATGAGGAGGAACCCATGGGACGATGAACAGGTCCTACCTCAACATGAGGAGGAACCCATGGGACGATGAACAGGTCCTACCTCAACATGAGGAGGAACCCATGGGACGATGAACAGGTCCTACCTCAACATGAGGAGGAACCCATGGGACGATGAACAGGTCCTACCTCAACATGAGGAGGAACCCATGGGACGATGAACAGGTCCTACCTCAACATGAGGAGGAACCCATGGGACGATGAACAGGTCCTAACTCATCATGAGGAGGAACCCATGAGACGATGAACAGGTCCTACCTCATCATGAGGAGGAACCCATGAGACGATGAACAGGTCCTACCTCAACATGAGGAGGAACCCATGGGACGATGAACAGGTCCTACCTCAACATGAGGAGGAACCCATGGGACGATGAACAGGTCCTACCTCAACATGAGGAGGAACCCATGGGACGATGAACAGGTCCTACCTCAACATGAGGAGGAATCCATGAGACGATGAACAGGTCCTACCTCAACACGAGGAGGAACCCATGAGACGATGAACAGGTCCTACCTCAACATGAGGAGGAACCCATGAGACGATGAACAGGTCCTACTTCAACATGAGGAGGAAGTCATGAGACGATGAACAGGTCCTACCTCAACATGAGGAGGAACCCATGGGACGATGAACAGGTCCTACCTCAACATGTGGAGGAACCCATGGGACGATGAACAGGTCCTACCTCAACATGAGGAGGAACCCATGGAACGATGAACAGGTCCTACCTCAACATGAGGAAGAATCCATGAGACGATGAACAGGTCCTACCTCAACATGAGGAGGAACCCATGGGACGATGAACAGGTCCTACTTCAACATGAGGAGGAAGTCATGAGACGATGAACAGGTCCTACCTCAACATGAGGAGGAACCCATGGGACGATGAACAGGTCCTACCTCAACATGAGGAGGAACCCATGGAACGATGAACAGGTCCTACCTCAACATGAGGAGGAACCCATGGGACGATGAACAGGTCCTACCTCAACATGAGGAGGAATCCATGAGACGATGAACAGGTCCTACCTCATCATGAGGAGGAACCCATGAGACGATGAACAGGTCCTACCTCAACATGAGGAGGAACCCATGGGACGATGAACAGGTCCTACCTCAACATGAGGAGGAACCCATGGGACGATGAACAGGTCCTACCTCAACATGAGGAGGAACCCATGGGACGATGAACAGGTCCTACCTCAACATGAGGAGGAACCCATGGGACGATGAACAGGTCCTACCTCAACATGAGGAGGAACCCATGGGACGATGAACAGGTCCTACCTCAACATGAGGAGGAACCCATGGGACGATGAACAGGTCCTAACTCATCATGAGGAGGAACCCATGAGACGATGAACAGGTCCTACCTCATCATGAGGAGGAACCCATGAGACGATGAACAGGTCCTACCTCAACATGAGGAGGAACCCATGGGACGATGAACAGGTCCTACCTCAACATGAGGAGGAACCCATGGGACGATGAACAGGTCCTACCTCAACATGAGGAGGAACCCATGGGACGATGAACAGGTCCTACCTCAACATGAGGAGGAATCCATGAGACGATGAACAGGTCCTACCTCAACACGAGGAGGAACCCATGAGACGATGAACAGGTCCTACCTCAACATGAGGAGGAACCCATGAGACGATGAACAGGTCCTACTTCAACATGAGGAGGAAGTCATGAGACGATGAACAGGTCCTACCTCAACATGAGGAGGAACCCATGGGACGATGAACAGGTCCTACCTCAACATGTGGAGGAACCCATGGGACGATGAACAGGTCCTACCTCAACATGAGGAGGAACCCATGGGACGATGAACAGGTCCTACCTCAACATGAGGAGGAACCCATGGGACGATGAACAGGTCCTACCTCAACATGAGGAGGAACCCATGGGACGATGAACAGGTCCTACCTCAACATGAGGAGGAACCCATGGGACGATGAACAGGTCCTAACTCATCATGAGGAGGAACCCATGAGACGATGAACAGGTCCTACCTCATCATGAGGAGGAACCCATGAGACGATGAACAGGTCCTACCTCAACATGAGGAGGAACCCATGGGACGATGAACAGGTCCTACCTCAACATGAGGAGGAACCCATGGGACGATGAACAGGTCCTACCTCAACATGAGGAGGAACCCATGGGACGATGAACAGGTCCTACCTCAACATGAGGAGGAACCCATGAGACGATGAACAGGTCCTACCTCAACACGAGGAGGAACCCATGAGACGATGAACAGGTCCTACCTCAACATGAGGAGGAACCCATGAGACGATGAACAGGTCCTACCTCAACATGAGGAGGAACCCATGAGACGATGAACAGGTCCTACTTCAACATGAGGAGGAAGTCATGAGACGATGAACAGGTCCTACCTCAACATGAGGAGGAACCCATGGGACGATGAACAGGTCCTACCTCAACATGTGGAGGAACCCATGGGACGATGAACAGGTCCTACCTCAACATGAGGAGGAACCCATGAGACGATGAACAGGTCCTACCTCAACATGAGGAGGAACCCATGGGACGATGAACAGGTCCTACCTCAACATGAGGAGGAACCCATGGGACGATGAACAGGTCCTACCTCAACATGAGGAGGAACCCATGAGACGATGAACAGGTCCTACCTCAACATGAGGAGGAACCCATGGGACGATGAACAGGTCCTAACTCATCATGAGGAGGAACCCATGAGACGATGAACAGGTCCTACCTCATCATGAGGAGGAACCCATGAGACGATGAACAGGTCCTACCTCAACATGAGGAGGAACCCATGAGACGATGAACAGGTCCTACCTCATCATGAGGAGGAATCCATGGGACGATGAACAGGTCCTACCTCATCACGAGGAGGAACCCATGGGACGATGAACAGGTCCTAAGTCAACATGAGGAGGAACCCATGGGACGATGAACAGGTCCTACCTCAACATGAGGAGGAACCCATGAGACGATGAACAGGTCCTACCTCAACATGAGGAGGAACCCATGGGACGATGAACAGGTCCTACCTCATCAGGAGGAGGAACCCATGAGACGATGAACAGGTCCTAACTCATCATGAGGAGGAACCCATGGGACGATGAACAGGTCCTACCTCAACATGAGGAGGAACCCATGGGATGATGAACAGGTCCTACCTCATCATGAGGAGGAACCCATGAGACGATGAACAGGTCCTACCTCATCATGAGGAGGAACCCATGAGACGATGAACAGGTCCTACCTCAACATGAGGAGGAACCCATGGGACGATGAACAGGTCCTACCTCATCATGAGGGGGAACCCATGGGACGATGAACAGGTCCTACCTCATCATGAGGAGGAACCCATGAGACGATGAACAGGTCCTACCTCAACATGAGGAGGAACCCATGAGACGATGAACAGGTCCTACCTCATCATGAGGAGGAACCCATGAGACGATGAACAGGTCCTACCTCATCATGAGGAGGAACCCATGAGACGATGAACAGGTCCTACCTCAACATGAGGAGGAACCCATGAGACGATGAACAGGTCCTACCTCATCATGAGGAGGAACCCATGGGACGATGAACAGGTCCTACCTCATAGAACAATGATTCTAGACTCCATCTTCACATGCTGACTATTGATTGAACCTCAATAGATCAATTGAACCACTACCATTATAGCAGTAAGCTAGTCTACCTATAATGTAACCATGGTTACGGCAGGCTCATTGGATATTTGCTAGTGTGACTGAATACGTTTTCCTGATATCTGAAAAAAACATTTTCTTTCTTTTTAAAATGACCATTTTAAACAAAATGATATTCTTCACATCTAGAATAAACAATCTGGATGCCTAGAAATTAATTTCAGATCTCCATATTCCTATTGTTACTTATTATTGTTATTATAAAGAAATATATTTCAGATATCATAGATAAATATTTAGTCAGGCTTTATATTCAGGGCTGAATATAAAGGCACTTCCTGTTTCTTGTCATCATGGTGACTCGGAGCTAATAATGGCTTTTCATCGTTGTTCCACGCTCCACTCTGAGTGGACCTACTTAGAGTTGGTTGAACTAATTCACAGCAGCTGCCTTAAAACTGAAAACATATTTTGTTAAACCTGCTTTGTGAAACGGGCCTTGGATCAGCGATCCTTCTATCTGATGCCGCGGTGCAGCAAACGGGGCTAAATATCACCATGTTTGTGAGAACTGCCTGCGACTGAGGGGCTAAATGTTGTTGGTGTTTGGCGTGAACACACCTTTGAACCTGAGCGTGGAGCTGTGAGCCGACCAAGCTGGACAATTTTAACCAAAGAACCAAAGAATTCTAATGCAGCAGAAACACACAGGAGGAAACTGTGGACGTTTTAATAGAGTTTACAGAACAATGCTGCACCTTCACTTCCCAATTATTTAATATGGGCTTTAGATCCTCTTTAAGGCACCTGGAGCTGAAATGTTGTTTTTGTTCTTCCAGATGTTTGATGCTATGGAGGACATAAAGAAGAATAACAAAGTTCGGAGCGTTATTTTATGCAGTTTAGTTCCTGGTATCTTCTGTGCAGGTATGAGCCTGAAATCTACAGAGAATAGGATAGAAATACCATTTTAATGTAGTAACCATGGGCCAAATGTCCAGATTAGTCTTTAGAGATGTTCAGAAACTCCAGCAGGGACCTCCTGGTCCATCTGGCAACAAACCTTCTTGTTTCTGTGTTTAGGTGCCGATCTGAAGGAGAGGGCAAAGATGGCTCCCAGTGAGGTGGGACCATTTGTTTCAAGAGCCAGGGCCCTCATCACCGAGCTGGGTAAGGACTTCATGGCATCCCGACTCCATCGCAGGCTGCACCTTTATTTCAGTAACAACAGTCCTCACGTCTGTGCTAGAACTGACCATTGGCTCTGCAACTAGAGAACCAGCGACTAGAGAACCGCTGACTACTGAACCGGTTACTAGTGAACCGCTGACTACTGAACCGGTTACTAGTGAACCGCTGACTACTGAACTGGTTACTAGAGAACCGCTGACTAAATAGGTCCATAGTGAACAGCGTGCACTCTGGATCCCAGAGCAAGACCCTTGGAACACTGCTTCGCATAATGGCCGCCCACTGCTCCCCAAGGGGATGGGTTAAATGCAGAGGGAATTTCCCTTTTGTAAACTCTCAACCGACGACTAGTGAATCTGCTACTAGTGAACCACTGACTAGGATAACCAGCGAATAGTGAACTGGCAGCTAGTGAACCGGTGACCAGTGAACCGATGACTAGTGAACCACCCACTAGTGAACCGGTGACCAGTAACCTGATGACTAGTGAACTACTGACTAGTGAATTATTGATTAGTGAATCTGTGACTAGTAAGGCGTTGAACAGGTGACTAGTGAGTCGTGGCTGCAGCTGGGACTAGTGTGGTGGTGGACGTGGAAGCTGCTCTTCTCCCTCCTCACTAAGATGCTAGCTGATGCTAACAGGCTGAAACCAAAGAGTTCAGGAAAATCGGATTAAAATGAGTTTAAATTGAAAGTTCACAGCAATAAGATTATTTAAGGATTAAAATTGTTATCAGTATATCTTAGGGGTGGAACGGTTCACAAAATCCACGGTTCGGTTCGGTTCACGGTTTCGTGGTCACGGTTTTCGGTTAGGTTCAGTATATGTTGATTGTTACACCGAAATCCCATAAAAATGAATAAAAAAAATAAAATTAAAATAATGAATTATTTTTATTTTTTTATTTTAAATGATCCTCGGAAACCCTGGATCATTTCTGCATGTTTTGCTGCTTTGAATTGAATCATCTGGCGCATGCTCTCTACGATCTCCAAGGAACTCAGAGCGGAGCGGACGAAGCCACAGTGGAGGCTGTAGGCTTTGCTTTGAGCAGCCGGTCTGGAGCGCAGCGGGGCGGAGCGCTGACAGAGTATGTGGGATTTCGGGGTTAGCCTGACATGTTGGTCATGTTGCTGTTAGCATAACCAAAACGTGTTGCACAATGCTTGCACACTGTTGCACTTTTATCCATAGCTTTCTTCCCGCCGTCATCGTAGGTCACTCTAAATGCAAAGTGGTCCCATACAGCAGACCCATAAAGTGCTGCTGGCGCGTCTTCCAACTCCTGCTCTTTCCCACTCGCCATACCCACACAATTCTCAACAACAACTGATTTTTTCTGCTACACCCGGCTACGCTGCTTTTTCTTGTTTACTACTGGTGGTTGGCTTTGGTCGCAGTACCGCCACCTTCTGCTCTGGAGTGTAAACGCTTCGCCTATGAGAAAAAGGAGCAGCGCATGAACCGAACGCAACACACACGAACCGAACCGAGACAGTCGAACCTGATTATTTCAGGAATAATTAAATAAATCTCCCGTATTAAATGGTGCTAGCTGTTTGTTGATCTGTGTCTGTAATTATGGCAGGAACGGTCCTCCGTAAAGGTTGGTTCACTCTGATCGATGCGTCACCACCGCCAGACCATCCCGATCTACGGTGAAATTCGTTGGGCTGGTGCCATTTTCTGGCCCCCATACCTGGCTGTCAGTATCGGCCCATACCATCTGATTGAAATTGGTGTGTTTATATCTGAAGAACTGCAGACTACTTGGATGTAGAATAATCACCATCATGGCTTCATGTCCAGCTGCTGCCTTCCTTTGTGAAGCAGGAAAAAGACTAAAACAGTGAATCCAGTAGAACTTTTTATTGCCGACCTGGAATGGTTGACAATAGAAACGTTTAACTTTCAAAATGGTATCGGTGCCCTATTGGTTGGTACTCGCCGATACCACCATTTTACTGCTGGATCGGGGCCCCGCCCCATACTGGTATCGGTGTAACACTAACGGCGAGCATTATTCACATTAGAACTTTACTCTCCAGACCTGCAGGAGACCAGATCTCCCAGTCGTTTCTTGTCATTCACTGACCTGATGTGTGCGGCGGCGTCGGGACGCTGGTCAGGGTTCGTGTTCACGCTGTCTGTTCTGCTCTCTGCAGGTAATCTCACCGTACCAACGATTGCTGCCATAGATGGAGCTGCTTTAGGGGGGGGGCTGGAAATGGCCCTAGCCTGTGACATCAGAATCGCTTGTACGTTTCTTGCACGCCTCCATGACGTCACATTAAAGTATCAGTATCTGCTGAGTTTGCTGTTTGTGTGAAATAAAGGATCTTCTGTTGGTTTCTGTTCCTCAGCCAGCAGTGCAAAAATGGGGCTCGTTGAGACAAAGCTTGCGATTATTCCAGGAGCAGGTGAGGCTTATCCTATTAAAATGTTTTAGTTTCATCAGTAACTGGTAGTAAAGTTGCTCCTGTGTCTGCTCCTGTAGGGGGAACACAGCGTCTTCCCAGAGCCATCGGCGTGTCTCTAGCCAAGGAGCTGATCTTCACGGGCCGAGTCGTGGATGGAAAGGAGGCGTTCCGCCTGGGGCTGGTCAATCATTCGGTAGAGCAGAACGAGCGTGGAGACGCGGCCTACCTCCATGCTCTCCAGCTGGCTCGTGAGATCAACCCTCAGGTACTGGAGCAGGCAGGAAAACCTGGTTTCAGAAGGAGGGCTGTCACTCAGTGAAAGGTTTGGTTCTGGCTTCTCAGGGACCGATTGCAGTACGGATGGCAAAGCTGGCAATTAACCAGGGAATAGAGGTGAGTTCTGATGGCACATACAAACACTTTACATGGACAGAGAGAAAAATAAAGTCAGAATCTATTGATGATTCATAATGTCTAAAGATTAAATAAAGTCATGATATTACAACCATAAATTAGTGTCACATCTGAGGTCTGCCAGGATGGGATCTCAGGACCAACACTGGCCGCTCATTCTGGATACGAACCCAGGCTTCCTGTTTGCAGCACGGGTGACTGACTACTTGAGCTAGCCAGCTGCTATAGCTAGCCAGCTCCTATGGCTAGCCGGCCGCTATAGCTAGCCATCTACTATAGCTAGCCGGCTGCTATAGGTAGCCAGCCGCTATGACTAGCTAGCCGCTATGGCTAGCCCGCCGCTATAGCTAGCGTCTGGAAAAGTGGGTGGGCCTTTCTGGTTTGAATCCTACCTGAAGGACAAGGACTTCTATGAGTCAGTAGGGAACTTTACATCAGAGACCAGGAAAATCACCTGTGGGGTTCCTCAAGGCTCCATTCTGGGGCCCCTCCTATTTAACATCTACATGCTCCCCTTGGCTCAGATCATAGCAAACAACCAGATCAGTTAGCATCACTATGCAACCTAGCTTTACATCCCAACGTCAGCAGGTGGCTATGAACCAATCAGAACGTTTGTTAGATGCTAAGAACAGATCAATCTGTGGATGAACCATCATTTTCTACAACTGAAAAAAAAACAAACTGAGGTAATAATCTTTGGACCAAAAGAGCGGAGATCCAGAGTTAGACCCCAGCTTCAGCTGCTGCAGCAGAAACCACTGATTATGGCTGAAATGAGTCATCCTTTGATCACCTGAAGAACATCTCCAGGATTAAAGGACTGATGTCCAGAAGGATCTAGAAAAGCTCCTCCGTGCATTTATCTATCCTAGAATTGATCAGTGCAACAGAGTCTTCATAGGATTCTATGGTTGGGCTTCCTGTGAAGTTTAGTCTCTGCAGCCCAATGTTGAACTGTTAGCAGCTACTTTTCATCTGTACTGTTTGGCCAGAGAGAGTGGGCGGAGTCACATCAGGTGGGTGGGACTTTGGGCTGCTGCAGTCAGACAGGCCTGGACTGAGAACTATGAAAGGCTTGTTTTCTATCACTGACTGACGCCTGATTCTCTTCCAGGTGGATTTATCCACAGGTCTGGCCATCGAAGAGGCGTGCTACGCTCAGGTGAGTGCTGCCTCTGTCGCCCGTTCTCCTTCCTGTTACTGATGTCATCATTTTGATCTTAACTGGAATAGTAGCTCCGTCTGCTGAGTGGTGGAAGCCAGGCCGTTCAGTAACGGTGAGGCAATAAAAAACAGCTGGTCTCCCAAAAATGCATCAACGATCCCAGAAACCGATCAGCTGCGTCTCTGACTCAGCAGCTCTGCAGCGTGGAGCAGAGGGACGGTTTCAGTGGGAAGAACGTCAAAATGCTCCGACACAACCAAAGCAAGGTTTAAAGAACAAGCAGAGCGAGGAGGAGACAGCAAGCAACCCCAACTATAAGGATGGACGATTAAAGGACAAGCAGAGGAAGGCAGTGGGTTCCACCGCCACTATTCTGTCAGACCAGCATACCCCGTCAGAACAGCATGCCCAGTCAGACCAGCATACCCAGTCAGACCAGTATACCCAGTCAGACCAGCATACCCCGTCAGAACAGCATACCCAGTCAGACCAGCATACCCAGTCAGAACAGCATACCCAGTCAGACCAGCATACCCAGTCAGACCAGCATACCCAGTCAGACCAGTATACCCCGTCAGAGCAGCATACCCAGTCAGACCAGTATACTCCGTCAGACCAGCATACCCAGTCAGACCAGCATGCCCTGTCAGACCAGTATACCCCGTCAGAACAGCATACCCAGTCAGACCAGCATACCCAGTCAGACCAGCATACCCAGTCAGACCAGTATACCCCGTCAGAGCAGCATACCCAGTCAGACCAGCATACCCAGTCAGACCAGCATACCCAGTCAGACCAGCATACCCAGTCAGACCAGCATGCCCAGTCAGACCAGCATACCCAGTCAGACCAGTATACCCCGTCAGAGCAGCATACCCAGTCAGACCAGTATACTCCGTCAGACCAGCATACCCAGTCAGACCAGCATGCCCTGTCAGACCAGTATACCCCGTCAGAACAGCATACCCAGTCAGACCAGCATACCCAGTCAGACCAGCATACCCAGTCAGACCAGTATACCCCGTCAGAGCAGCATACCCAGTCAGACCAGCATACCCAGTCAGACCAGCATACCCAGTCAGACCAGCATACCCAGTCAGACCAGCATACCCAGTCAGAACAGCATACCCAGTCAGACCAGCATACCCAGTCAGACCAGCATACCCAGTCAGACCAGTATACCCCGTCAGAGCAGCATACCCAGTCAGACCAGTATACTCCGTCAGACCAGCATACCCAGTCAGACCAGCATGCCCTGTCAGACCAGTATACCCCGTCAGAACAGCATACCCAGTCAGACCAGCATACCCAGTCAGACCAGCATACCCAGTCAGACCAGTATACCCCGTCAGAGCAGCATACCCAGTCAGACCAGCATACCCAGTCAGACCAGCATACCCAGTCAGACCAGCATACCCAGTCAGACCAGCATACCCAGTCAGACCAGCATACCCAGTCAGACCAGTATACCCCGTCAGAGCAGCATACCCAGTCAGACCAGTATACTCCGTCAGACCAGCATACCCAGTCAGACCAGCATACCCAGTCAGACCAGTATACTCCGTCAGACCAGCATACCCAGTCAGACCAGTATACTCCGTCAGACCAGCATACCCAGTCAGACCAGCATGCCCCGTCAGACCAGCATACCCAGTCAGACCAGTATACTCCGTCAGACCAGCATACCCAGTCAGACCAGTATACTCCGTCAGACCAGTATACTCCGTCAGACCAGCATACCCAGTCAGACCAGTATACTCCGTCAGACCAGCATACCCAGTCAGACCAGTATACTCCGTCAGACCAGCATACCCAGTCAGACCAGCATGCCCCGTCAGACCAGCATACCCAGTCAGACCAGTATACTCCGTCAGACCAGCATACCCAGTCAGACCAGTATACTCCGTCAGACCAGCATACCCAGTCAGACCAGTATACTCCGTCAGACCAGCATACCCAGTCAGACCAGTATACTCCGTCAGACCAGCATACCCAGTCAGACCAGCATACCCAGTCAGACCAGCATACCCAGTCAGACCAGCATACCCAGTCAGACTAGTATACTCCGTCAGACCAGCATACCCAGTCAGACCAGCATACCCAGTCAGACCAGCATACCCAGTCAGACCAGTATACTCCGTCAGACCAGCATACCCAGTCAGACCAGCATACCCAGTCAGACCAGCATACCCAGTCAGACCAGTATACTCCGTCAGACCAGCATACCCAGTCAGACCAGCATACCCAGTCAGACCAGCATACCCAGTCAGACCAGCATACCCAGTCAGACTAGCATACCCAGTCAGACCAGCATACCCAGTCAGACCAGCATACCCAGTCAGACCAGCATACCCAGTCAGACCAGCATACCCAGTCAGACCAGCATACCCAGTCAGACCAGCATACCCAGTCAGACCAGCATACCCAGTCAGACTAGCATACCCAGTCAGACCAGCATACCCAGTCAGACCAGCATACCCAGTCAGACCAGTATACCCAGTCAGACCAGTATACCCAGTCAGACTAGCATACCCAGTCAGACTAGCATACCCAGTCAGACCAGTATACCCAGTCAGACTAGCATACCCAGTCAGACTAGCATACCCAGTCAGACCAGTATACCCAGTCAGACCAGCATACCCAGTCAGACCAGCATACCCAGTCAGACTAGCATACCCAGTCAGACCAGCATACCCAGTCAGACTAGCATACCCAGTCAGACTAGCATACCCAGTCAGACCAGCATACCCAGTCAGACTAGCATACCCAGTCAGACTAGCATACCCAGTCAGACCAGCATACCCAGTCAGACTAGCATACCCAGTCAGACTAGCATACCCAGTCAGACCAGTATACCCAGTCAGACCAGTATACCCAGTCAGACCAGCATACCCAGTCAGACCAGTATACCCAGTCAGACCAGCATACCCAGTCAGACCAGCATACCCAGTCAGACCAGTATACCCAGTCAGACCAGCATACCCAGTCAGACCAGCATACCCAGTCAGACTAGCATACCCAGTCAGACTAGCATACCCAGTCAGACCAGTATACCCAGTCAGACTAGCATACCCAGTCAGACTAGCATACCCAGTCAGACTAGCATACCCAGTCAGACCAGTATACCCAGTCAGACCAGTATACCCAGTCAGACCAGCATACCCAGTCAGACCAGTATACCCAGTCAGACCAGCATACCCAGTCAGACCAGCATACCCAGTCAGACCAGCATACCCAGTCAGACCAGTATACCCAGTCAGACCAGCATACCCAGTCAGACCAGCATACCCCGTCAGACCAGCATACCCCGTCAGAGCAGCATACCCAGTCAGACCAGCATACCCAGTCAGACCAGCATACCCAGTCAGACCAGCATACCCAGTCAGACCAGCATACCCAGTCAGACCAGTATACCCAGTCAGACTAGCATACCCAGTCAGACCAGTATACCCAGTCAGACTAGCATACCCAGTCAGACCAGCATACCCAGTCAGACCAGCATACCCAGTCAGACCAGCATACCCAGTCAGACCAGCATACCCCGTCAGAGCAGCATACCCAGTCAGACCAGTATACCCAGTCAGACCAGTATACCCAGTCAGACCAGCATACCCAGTCAGACCAGTATACCCAGTCAGACCAGCATACCCAGTCAGACCAGCATACCCAGTCAGACCAGCATACCCAGTCAGACCAGCATACCCCGTCAGACCAGCATACCCCGTCAGAGCAGCATACCCAGTCAGACCAGCATACCCAGTCAGACCAGTATACCCAGTCAGACCAGCATACCCAGTCAGACCAGTATACCCAGTCAGACCAGCATACCCAGTCAGACCAGCATACCCAGTCAGACCAGTATACCCAGTCAGACCAGCATACCCAGTCAGACCAGCATACCCCGTCAGACCAGCATACCCCGTCAGAGCAGCATACCCAGTCAGACCAGCATACCCAGTCAGACCAGTATACCCAGTCAGACCAGCATACCCAGTCAGACCAGCATACCCAGTCAGACCAGCATACCCCGTCAGACCAGCATACCCCGTCAGAGCAGCATACCCAGTCAGACCAGCATACCCAGTCAGACCAGTATACCCAGTCAGACCAGCATACCCAGTCAGACCAGCATACCCAGTCAGACTAGCATACCCAGTCAGACTAGCATACCCAGTCAGACCAGTATACCCAGTCAGACTAGCATACCCAGTCAGACTAGCATACCCAGTCAGACTAGCATACCCAGTCAGACCAGTATACCCAGTCAGACCAGTATACCCAGTCAGACCAGCATACCCAGTCAGACCAGTATACCCAGTCAGACCAGCATACCCAGTCAGACCAGCATACCCAGTCAGACCAGTATACCCAGTCAGACCAGTATACCCAGTCAGACCAGCATACCCAGTCAGACCAGCATACCCCGTCAGACCAGCATACCCCGTCAGAGCAGCATACCCAGTCAGACCAGCATACCCAGTCAGACCAGTATACCCAGTCAGACCAGCATACCCATAGTCAATACCTATTTATCTCTTTAGTTTTGTATGAAATTAACTTTAAACGACCTAAACAGACGTGTATCCCGTTAGTCATGTACAAAAAACCATTTTAATTGTAGCCTGATGAATGAGACATTGGAAGATTGTTGGTGAGAACAACCCGTTGCCTTTCTAACCATGTCTGTGCCTATTGGCCAACGCTCTGACCAATCAGCAACTGACTGTGACGTAGGAAGCAGCAAATCATTTGGCCGCTGGTGGGTGGGGCTAGTTTACTAGGCTGCTAAAAGTGCTTTCTGGTGTTTTTTGACCTTAAATAGTTTTTTTTTGTACATGACTAAAGGGACACGCCCGTTGAGCTAGTTCAGAGTTTATTTTAAGTACAAAACTAAAGGGATAAACACAATTCTGACATCTTGAATAGTGAGTATAGGTATGCAGGTCTGACAGAAGAGCGGTGCTCTGACTGAGACATAGCAGCCGCCGCAGACAGCTCCTTAAAGCAGCAGGGTAAAGATTTTCTGACATAAGGGAAGGAAAAACATCAGGCTCCTCCTCTTCCTTGCTGTTCGGTCAGGATCAACCAATCAGAGGAGGAGGAGGGTCCTCAGTCTGCAGCGTTGATGCTCCATCACACAGCCAGCAGGGTTCTGCCTCTGAGGGGCAGCGGTCTCTTGGTGGATGTTCTGCCCTGGAAGGTTCCTGTTCTGGATGCAAACTGCAGCTTCAGCCGTTGGACTGAGCAGCGTTAGCCTCACAGGAACATGTTTATTAGATCAAACTAGCAGACGCTCACTTTGATGATTCCACATCAGTTTACTCCTAATGACCTGACAGCAGTAAAGAAATGACCGTCAGCAGATTAAAAACATTACAACGTTTTCTGCTGACGAGGCGATCGCAGCTCGGTCAGCAAACGGTTAAACCAGGCTGAGACCAATCACGCTGCTTCTAATGCTCCTGTTTGTTTCTCAAGGTGATACCAACCAAAGACCGCCTGGAAGGTCTGGCTGCTTTCAAGGAGAAGAGGCGTCCTCATTTCAAGGGGGAATGAACCACGTTTGTTCCCTGAACCACAGCTTTGGACCCCGGACCTGTTTGCCTGCAGACGCAGCAGAGCTGGGAGCCTGCGGCGCCTCGCTGACACGTTAGCCGCTTAGCTTCCAGGGACACCTGTGTGCAGCCAACCCCATCATCGCCACATCCAGCGGATTTGGTTGCATGCTGAGGACCTGAGAATACTGACGAGTCCTGACCCTGCCTAGCCCTTCTAGTCCCGAGTCCTGACCCAGCCTAATCATTCTGGTCCCGAGTCCTGACCCAGCCTAACTCTTCTAGTCCCGAGTCCTGACCCAGCCTAACTCTTCTAGTCCAGAGTCCTGACCCAGCCTAACCCTTCTAGTCCCAAGTCCTGACCCAGCCTAGCCCTTCTAGTCCCGACCCAGCCTAATCATTCTGGTCCCGAGTCCTGACCCAGGCTAATCATTCTTGTCCAGACCCAGCCTAACCCTTCTAGTCCCGACCCAGCCTAACCCTTCTAGTCCCGAGTCCAGACCCAGCCTAGCCCTTCTAGTCCAGAGTCCTGACCCAGCCTAGCCCTTCTAGTCCAGAGTCCTGACCCAGCCTAGCCCTTCTAGTCCAGGGTCCTGACCCAGCCTAGCCCTTCTAGTCCAGGGTAATCATTCTGGTCCCGAGTCCTGACCCAGCCTAATCATTCTTGTCCCGACCCAGCCTAATCATTCTGGTCCCGAGTCCTGACCCAGCCTAATCATTCTAGTCCCGAGTCCTGACCCAGCCTAACCCTTCTAGTCCCGACCCAGCCTAATCATTCTGGTCCCGAGTCCTGACCCAGCCTAGCCCTTCTAGTCCCGAGTCCTGACCCAGCCTAACTCTTCTAGTCCAGAGTCCTGACCCAGCCTAATCATTCTGGTCCCAAGTCCTGACCCAGCCTAATCATTCTGGTCCTGAGTCCAGACCCAGCCTAACCCTTCTAGTCCCGACCCTGCCTAACCCTTCTAGTCCCGAGTCCAGACCCAGCCTAGCCCTTCTAGTCCAGAGTCCTGACCCGGCCTAGCCCTTCTAGTCCAGGGTCCTGACCCAGCCTAACCCTTCTGGTCCCGAGTCCTGACCCAGCCTAATCATTCTGGTCCCGAGTCCTGATCCCAGTCCTGACCCAGCCTAGCCCTTCTAGTCCAGAGTCCTGACCCAGCCTAGCCCTTCTAGTCCAGAGTCCTGACCCAGCCTAGCCCTTCTAGTCCAGGGTCCTGACCCAGCCTAGCCCTTCTAGTCCAGGGTAATCATTCTGGTCCCGAGTCCTGACCCAGCCTAATCATTCTTGTCCCGACCCAGCCTAATCATTCTGGTCCCGAGTCCTGACCCAGCCTAATCATTCTAGTCCCGAGTCCTGACCCAGCCTAACCCTTCTAGTCCCGACCCAGCCTAATCATTCTGGTCCCGAGTCCTGACCCAGCCTAGCCCTTCTAGTCCCGAGTCCTGACCCAGCCTAACTCTTCTAGTCCAGAGTCCTGACCCAGCCTAATCATTCTGGTCCCAAGTCCTGACCCAGCCTAATCATTCTGGTCCTGAGTCCAGACCCAGCCTAACCCTTCTAGTCCCGACCCTGCCTAACCCTTCTAGTCCCGAGTCCAGACCCAGCCTAGCCCTTCTAGTCCAGAGTCCTGACCCAGCCTAGCCCTTCTAGTCCCGACCCAGCCTAATCATTCTGGTCCTGAGTCCAGACCCAGCCTAACCCTTCTAGTCCAGACCCAGCCTAACCCTTCTAGTCCCGACCCAGCCTAACCCTTCTAGTCCCGAGTCCAGACCCAGCCTAGCCCTTCTAGTCCAGAGTCCTGACCCGGCCTAGCCCTTCTAGTCCAGAGTCCTGACCCAGTCTAGCCCTTCTAGTCCAGGGTCCTGACCCAGCCTAGCCCTTCTAGTCCAGAGTCCTGACCATGTCTAGCCCTTCTAGTCCAGGGTCCTGACCCAGCCTAGCCCTTCTAGTCCAGGGTCCTGACCCAGCCTAACCCTTCTGGTCCCGAGTCCTGACCCAGCCTAATCATTCTGGTCCCGAGTCCTGATCCCAGTCCTGACCCAGCCTAGCCCTTCTGGTCCCGAGTCCAGAAACTAACCAAGCTCTGAAAACTGGAACATTTTGTTTTCTGCATTTCCAGCAGCCATTATTGATCAGCTGATTAATATTTTTGTTCTTTTAATTGGATGTAATAGTTTTAAATGCAGATTTATTTCCATTTATCAAACCAATCTGTGATTTAGTGAGAATAGAAAGTGTTTCTCAAACAGAGCTGCTGCTGTCTGCCATGGTTTCAGGCAAACTTCAATCTGATAATCATTTTAATATCATTTCTATTTACTAGCAAAGTAACATTTGATTGGCTGAACAGCGCCCCCTGTCTTCCAGAGGTTGTGATGTGAAGAGAGGTGAAATCATCCATCCTTCCTGCAGAATGTTTCTCCCTGTCCAGACGGCTGACCTCTGACCTCTGAATGATGACCGTGAAAAACCCAAACCATCGGTTCATGTTTAAACCAATCAAATCTGATCCTGATGAGAGTTTTCTCCCCTGGTTTCAATTTCGGCGGGAAGGGGGGCTCCACCCAGCAGCTTTAGCTCCGCCCCCTCTGAATGCTGATGATGCGGTCAGTTTGGTTATTGAAATGTTTCTGTTCAGTCGCTGCATAGTGGATCCAGCTTGGTTCCGCTCTGCATCAAACCATGGACTTTATTAAAGTTTGTTCTGATTGGTTTATTGTCCTGATCTCAGCTGATGGGGTTTATCTTGTTGCTTTGATGTTTTATTCAGGTAATAATAGTGAAACTAGTGAGGGTTAGGTTAGACCACGGGAACACCTGTGGATGATGGTTCATCTTCCAGCTTCGGTTCACGTCCGTCCACAGCTTCCTGGTTGGTTATTTGATGATGATGATGATGATGGTGACGATGATGATGATGCTGATAATGATGATGATGTAGCCTCCTGATTCACACTCACAGCTCCACTTTCTTCCTGATCTGTTCTTTTTACTCCTCATGTTTGAGCTTTGCCTTTAACTACCTCCACAGGTGTGCCTCCATGTTATTAACCTATCAGAACCATAGAAAGCCATGACATCATCATCATTATCTGGAATTAAACCATTTAAAGGCGTTATAGTTTTGTGTGTGCAATCTGAAAATAATAAAGGCAATAAAGATATTGGAAAATATCGTCTCATTCAATTAATACTTTATCCTTCATTAAACATCATTACACCTTATACACAATTAAGGTCCAGAGACATTTTTAATTATAATCTGATACTTTAAACAGAATTTAACACTGAAATAAAAGGTTTTTATGCATCCATGTTACACATTGACTTTATAAATGATTAAAAAAAATAGAATATTTTTTTTTTTTAATCTAAAATGTTTTTAAGTAAAGATCAACAATCGTTCAGTTTGGTTTATAGATAATTTCCTGATTCCCATATTTTCTCAAACCCCTGAACTGATGGATTGTTATTGTCTTTCTTTTTTCTGTCTAAATGTTGGCAGTGGGCTTTAGGCTGCCCTGCAAGGCTTTAAACCTGGGTTTAACCGGAGACTAAGCCATTCTCAAGCACATATCAAGGAGCTCATTTTGAGCCTGGATCCAGATTTATTGTTGATTCTGTTCATGGTGGAGAATCCTGCTTCACAGCAGCAGGTTGAGCCAAACATCCTCTAAATGTGCAGGGTCATCTTTGAGCACGCCATTTCACTTTTCTTTCACCAGTTCACCGCAGTTCTTCCAGCAGTCCACACTTTCTCTGCTCTCTTTTTCTCCTCGTCTTCTCCTCGTCTTCATCGTCTCACAAACAGGTGAAGTGAAGTTCAAGTGAAGTTAGACACTGTCTTCGGACAACATGCGGTAATTTATAGATGTTTTAAACCAGATTTGGTCCGGATCCGGACCGCTGCCTCTGCCCTAAATGATACCTTTGAGTCCAGGAACCTCAGCCAACCTGCGATCCTGTGCAAGGATGGCATCCAGTTTACAGTCCTGCTCCTTTAACCTCTTACACCCTCAGGGGGTATAAATAAATTTCTGCCTGACAAAAACACACAAAAGTAAATCACTTATAGCCTCACAGCTATTAGATTTAAGAAGAAACTTTTGGTACGTCTTTAAAGGTAAGATGTCATAGAATGGTTTTCTGGTGTCAGCACCATTGTAGCTTTGACCCTGCCTCAAATATTAGGGACAAAATACAAAATATTTTGCATTTTTTGAACCTCGCCAAAATTTTCTTTGAAATAAACATTGCAAAACCCTACCAAAATATTATTTATAGCACAAAAAAGTAGTACAGACTTTTAAATCTAAATGTTGTGTAAAAATATACCAAATTTGGACTCAATCAGATGAATCATATATTTAGAATGGTATTAGTGAGAAATTTCTTAGGCGGAGGGGCCATTTTGGCACATTTATCCATAAATGTCACCAAACTGTGCCAAATATGTTTTTTACATCAATACTGGGGGTTTGGTAAAATTACGAGGTCACGTAGCAGCTGGACCCGCCGGTGGGTCCGTAGGGTTCTAGGGGTTAACATCTCAGTCTGAGTGTTGATAGCTGCCCAGATCCCCTCATTCATGCTGGGCGACCTGAAAACGGACAAAACATCTTCATCATATGTCAGGTATCCACCAACTCCAAGAAGTAGAAATCCTGTTATCAAATCCATCTTCTACGTCCTCCACAGACATCATCGTCAGGAACACAGTCTTCCTCTTCTGCCAGGAATTCATTGAGTATCTGGAGAAAAACGTCCCATCTGGACAGGAGGGTTCCTAGCCTGCCTCCCTGTAAGGAAATTCCTTCCTTATTCAGCAAATAAATATCTTTATAATTCAAACCGCGTTAAAATGCTTCTTTTCAGTTTAGTAAAGGAAAATACCACGCTACCCTCGGTCTAGTTGAACTAATCAGTGACGCTATTGACAGCTGAGGGTGGAATCAGTGTGTCCCTGGATTTAGCAAAGTGTTTGATCACATTGATTTTAAAATGTTTTGGGGTAAATTTCAGCGTTATGGTGTCAGAGGGACGGCCCTCAGTGGGTTCAGACGTTACTTATATGAGAGGAAGCAATGTGTAAATAAATAATAGTAAATCTTTTTATTTGACAACAACTATCCTCCACAAGGTCACCTTCACAGACGACGCCAATCTATCTCATAAAAATCCTGACAGCCTCCAATCTATTGTGAATTAGTCAAAGTTGATCATTGGTTAAAGGCAGTGGCTGCTGGCCAATAGAGGGCGCTGCCCCACCCAGTAACCCCAGTTAGGACATAAAAACATTTCATTGGAAATTAAAATTGAAAATGTTTCAAAATATATTTAAAATATATTTTTGGATGTCTAAGAACCAAAAAGAAGGACGCATTTAT